GTGCAGCTCCATAGTAGAGCACCATGGATTGCTCTGTTACAGGATGCTGAGAATTTGGCCCTCACTCCTTTCCAGAATGGAGGAGTTGCAGTGTTTTGGTTAGAGAGCAACCTCAAAAACAAAGTCTTTTAGGACAGCAGATGGCAACTTTCAGAAAATCAACACAGGTGCCCATGAACCACAGCAAATTTGTTACAGCTTCATGGCTGTTCTTCAGATTGTCTTGCATCTGGGTTTGGGGTCTTCTTTGATAGCTCTTCAATATGTCCTCACCTTTGCAGGAATGAGAAATGAACTTTGGGATCTCTCAAAGTCTGTGACTCTTGAAGAATTTGCATGGTGGCCCATTCTAGACAGGAGTTTTTGGAGGTCCACTAGACCTGCAGGCAGGAGTCTGGAATCTCCAAGCCCGTCCAAAGCTGTGTGTTCAAGCATGGTTGTGGTTTTCCTCCAGCCCACACCACTAGGTTTTCTGTTGATGGAAAAGGTGGAGTGCATCCCTCTTTCCAGAATCCTCCACAGAAATTCAGGATGCTTTGATGTGATATGCCAACTGCAGGAGTCTTGATCTTAGTACATTTAGGTTCCCAAGAGAATGGCAGGGAAAGGTGTTTCTGTGTGTCCTGCCTTGGTGCAGACCTGCCAGTCAGCCCAGGCACAGAACTACCATGGTCTTGGCAATGGGGCCAGCATTGAACACTACAGGACCAGTGAACAATGTAATAAAGGTCAGAGTTAGACATCTAAATTTCTCTGGCTAATTCTAGTGCATAGCACTAGATAAGAATAAGGACTGAGATTACATTCTCCTTTCAGATTCATGGTCTAAAGGTTGATTAAGTCACATTTCTGTAGCATAGAGAAAAAACACTGTAATAATCTGATGTAGCTGGAATACAGTAAGGTAACCATGAGACTTACAGGTAGGATGGTAATTTCAGAAATGGAAGAGAATTTTATTTCATTGTTATAGGAAAATTGTGGTTTGAATGCTTTTCTGCAGCACAGGTTTCTTTTTTAGACATTCATTGATTGAATGAGAAAATGTGTGGTATAGTCATTAGAAGAATGATTAAAGGAGGAAGGACTTTCTGTGGAAAAACCGTGTACACAGCAACTGCTGTTCTCTGCTGGCTGTTTGCATCAGCATAAAGCTTTGTATTTCAGGCACTGGGAGAGGAGTAGGTGTGTCTGTGAGACAAAATTTCAAATAGTGATGGTGGTGTGTGTCCCAGCTGTGCAATGGAGGCTAATTCTGACCAAATATGATATTAGAACTGCATTGTTAATAAACATTTGCCAAATTAATGATGTTTAAAACAGAAACCAGCAGGGAAAATGGTATTTCAACTGCTGTACCTTTTTCAAGCAAAAGTTCAAGTTTTAGGCAATTAAGGATTTTGTAAAACTTAAAGATGACAGTGAACTAAAGTGCTGCTTAGGGTTAACCTCTAATAGCAAAGCTAGCCTCTGCTTCAGCCCATAAAAGCTTTGATCCTCATGAAAACCAGTTCTAATTATGTCTAGATAATAATCCTCATAAAAATCTGACTATCCTCTGAAGCAAATTAGGTGACTTTTTAATACTAAATTCTGATTGAGCTCACATTAAACCAGGTTTACAGCATTTTAGGGCCCTTTTCTGCTTCAGATTGTTATAAGAAATGAAAATGAACATAAACAATGGTTGTGAATGGTAGTATATAATTTTTTATCTGACCCACTAGTATTTCCACAGTCAGCAAATACTTGAGAATGAAAATGAACATGCATGGAGTTAGTCTTTTAAAATATTAACCCATAAAGGCATTAAAAATGGTTCTTAGTATCAAAACACATCAGTTATGTAGACTAGAAGAAATTCGCAAGCTTGTTAATTTATTTTTTTTAATACCAAGTTGCCTGTGTTGTGAATAATACAAATTGCTCCAAGTCTAGCAGTGGATGAAGTTTGCTGAAATTTGCCTTGTTGACGTCTTGTGCAGTGTGGTGGTTTCTAAGCAGTGATTTCATAACTATGCCAAAGGGTTAAACTGAATCATCATTTGCTGATGGCAGTACAGCTGCCAAACAGTATTTCAGATTGCAGTATTTCAGATTCTGTGTTCCCTGCCCCAGCTTTAGCAGGCAAAGAAGATTGCTGTACATCCTAACTGGATAAAGCTTATGTAGTGAGATGTTTGAAATGGAAAAGTATTATAGGTCTTGATTACTCTGATCCCTTGCGTTCCTCTCAGCATTTCATGGTAGTTAGAACAAATTCTGAGTTCATTTAAGCAAGAGGCTTAAGAACAGGAGGTGCTTCAGTGAACTTAAGAACCAGAGCTGCAGTCTTGTCCAAGCACAGTGTTCTCCCAAGCAAGCCCTAACTCTTGCTTTCCTGCAGCTATGTGCCAGCTAAATCAAACATGTCATATATGTACAGAATATGCTAAAGCCCTTAGTTCTTGATTTTCTAACCTCATTCCTGTACAGCTCTGGAATCTTGTTTGTGTCATGGACTAATCATAAAGGTCTTTCCCTAGCCTTTGCATAACCTGGTCACCAGCATGCCTTACTGAGAGGAGACTGTTGTTTTTACATTTGACACAACACTGGCAGTGCCAATTTTGATAGATTCCTTTTTAGTTTGGTTGGTTTTTTGCTATCTGAGTGGCATAAAAGATAGCATAAAGCATGAAGTCGTCAATATTATGGCAGGATGCAGAAGTATACCCAGTGAATGTTTTACTTAATGCCTTATGCTGTGATTACACTCAAGAGATTTGAAATATTAGAGAAGACATGGCTTAGTTTCAAATCATTCAAACACGTTGTCTTTTTACTTAGAAGCTTAGTTCAGATGGCAAATCAGATCTGTTTTTTAATCTACTTATCCTCTCTAGCAGTGGATAGAGGGAGAATTGCATGTTTTTCCTAATGTAGCCAGGCTTTAGCTACTGCAGTTTGTTTCATGTGTGATAAGAATACACTGTTGGATCATGTTCAGCTTGGCATCCACCGTAACTCCTGCGTCTGTCCCAGCAGAGCTGCTGCTCACCCAGTCAGTTCCTGGTCTCTGCTGACACACCGCTTCTTCCACTCCACATCTCAAAACATTTTAAAGCTCGGTGCCATATAAGACCTGTATTCTACTTATGCTAATTAAGCCACCAGCTTATTCCATTATCAATTCCACTAGCTTTTGAAAAGCATCTTTTTCTTCTCTCTTTAGAGACTTTGGGGGAAGGTGGGGCTTCTTCTTGGACTTTGGCCAGAAGTTTTCTTGTGGTATGCAAGTGGTATAGTCCTCAGCAAAGAGAAGAATTTGACTCAAAAACTGATTAACCTTTGAGTGGCACTTCTAAGCCTTACCACTGAAAAGAATCATGTAGTCTCTGCATTATTTTTCTGCCTGAAGTCATAATAAGCTGGCCAAAAAAATTAGCCCAGGCAAATTCAGTATTAAAACAACATGAGGCTATTAAGTACCCTCTAATTCTAAAATAAATGATTGAAGCTGCATTGTTCTTCATTTACTGACATCTAAGTGCTTCCATCTGCAGTGACAACCTTACGTTACTCTTGCTGGTGTGTACTAATATGAAGACTTATAAACTCTTAAGTTTTTTTTTCTTATGAGAGAAAAAAAACCAAAAACCCACATGCCTCTCTGTGACATGTTTGTCTCAGTTTATTTCTTTACCATATTTTGAACCATGGCCAGCTGGAACTTCATGTGAGAAAGTTCATTATTTACTTGTATTTTTTTATAATCTAAATGGAGGTCTCTGAGAGTTTGCTGTCGTTCTTCATATAACCACAGGGAGGATTTCTTTGGCTTTGAACTGTTAATGATGGATTGCTGATGAGAGCACAGATGAATGTGCAAGAATTCTTCCTAATTTGCTCACCACGTGCAGCATACCTGTGTTTCTAAAGAGGGGAAGAGATGAAGAGAAATATTATTCAGCTGCTTATATGCACTGTTTCTGTATATTATCAGTAAGGATATCACTACAGGGTAAGGATCTATCTGACTTTTAGCTATTTTAGGAGGCATTTGATGGGTAATTTTTAGTCATTAAGTTCAGAGCTACTGCTAAAAGGCTAATAAATAAATATTAATTAGGTTACAAAACGGATTTTAAAATTTACAATAGCTTGCGGATGTATCTTCTTGGTTCAAATATATCTGAAAAAAATTCAAGATTAAATAGCAGGAAGCCTTGTTCAGGAGAGTGTATGAAGGAAAGCATATGGCTTATTAATCTCTTCATTGCCTCTCTTCAGGCATGGAGATAGGTAATAAAATATGGCCTTACTCTTCTGCTCAGTGCTGCTTCTGATGCAACTCTGCTTGATTCTTGCTATTTGTCTGTCCTGTTTGTACAAATGAATGGGAAGAAAGGAGGCAGAACAGAGAGAGAATGAGGAGAGTAGTGGCTCATTCCCAGCTGATCACAGCCAGAGAAGTTGTCTGGTCACAGGAAACTGAAGTATTTTATTGTCAGAATGAGGAGGGAAAGTACCATGGTACTGCAGGTCTCTGACTTGAAAGGAGGTGCAACACATCACAACAGCACCATCTCTATTTGTCACTGCTTTGTCACACACCATTTCTGCCCATCTATTCACATGCTGCAATAGGAAACCACCTCAAAATACGTGACTGAAATGAACTCTCCCTTCTTAAATTTAGGAACACTCAGTTCTCTCCTCCCGCCTTCAGACTTGCTTGGATGTTAGTTTGATGTGTTACATGACAGACTAGGTTGCATATTAACACTCCTTAACCTCATAAACTCCATGTTTGACACCTTCTGCTTCATTTGCATCTCATCTGCTGCGTGGTGGCTTGCTACAGGAATTGATGCCCATGACAAAAAGTACTTCTGTGTAACTGTTGCATCACAGCTGGAGAGCTGTAAACAGTACAGGGGAAAATACTGTAAATAAACTCATGTTATTATAATTGCACACTGCTGAATAAGCAATCTTCTCATATTTTATTTTTAAAGGGTGAACCAGGTTTCATTGGTCCACAAGGAGAACCTGGGTTGCCAGGGCTACCAGGAACAAAGGTAAGGGCCAGTGCTCTGGTGTGAAGCTCCTTGAGCTGATGTCAAATTCAACTTCCCTCAGCAAGGAGAAGAGACTGAGGCTACTATTGGAGGAAATGTGAAGTCATGGACCAGTACTAGGAGATAGATATATAGATATTCATATTGGTACCCTCAAAAAATGTGAATGCAGATGTTACATCATGACTTTAATTAATAAGTCATCTTTTTTCATGTTAGAATCCCCAACTTTGGTTCAAGAGGCAGAATAGGCATGACTGAAGAAACTATTTTCATAAATGTGGGGCATTTTAGGAAAATGTCTTGAAAGTGTGTGCAGGAAGTAGAACTTTGATACTGTGCAGCTGCTTCTGAAAATACAGGTGGACTAAACCACAGTTTCTTCTGTTGGCTTGGTTTCCTTGATCCTGCTGAGTGTGTGCTAAAGACTGCCCAGTATTTTATGATATCTGTGTGTCTGTTGCAATAGGGTGACCGAGGAGAGGCAGGCCCTGTTGGGAAGGGTGAGCGAGGTGAACCTGGAATCCCTGGACCAAAGGTCAGTCTGATTTTTACACTGGGAATGTTTTGTCAGTTTTACACCTATGGACACGTCTTTGCCTGCTGAAAAGTAGAACAGAACTTGGTGAGTGAGCTTTTAAATGAAAATGCTGTCAAATGCTCTACTTGAGTCCAGAAGACAATGGCAGTTTTGTGTTCCCAGCTGTGAAACTGCAGTCTGAATGGACTCTTATTTGGTCTGCAAAGTAAAGACACTACCTACGTACACTGTCCTGGAATTGGCCTAATTCATTCCAGCTGAAGTAGTGACCTCCAGGTCCCTAACTTTCAGCATCAAAGTTTGAACTCTTTGACCACTGTAGCTATTGAATGCAGAGAAAATCCATTTTGCATGCTGTTTTCTAACTCTCTAAGAAAGAGATCGGTCTAACTACATTTTAGTATTGTCTTAATATTTCCCCTGGTGTTGATACTGTCAAGTTTTCCTTTCCTAGTGCATTTTGAAAACAATAAAGTTAATTTTTTGCTCCTTGGACAGTTAGTTTGTATTCACCAGAACTTTTGGGAAAAGAAGTTGTGGCAACACTTTATTTTAATTTCCTTATGTTAGACTATTTAACTATCTTCTCTATCACTTGGCTATCATTTCTCAGGAGTAATGGAATGGCATAGTTCATTCCTGAAAATCAGTGATAATGATGCCTATCTTTACTAATGCCAATACTGTTTTTGCTTTGGAAAAGAGGAATCTGTAACCATAGCACTCTGGTGTTAAAGAATATATTAATCTGGGTGCTATTAAATTAAATGCCTTTAAGGATTCATTATCTTGGTAATAGCAATATAAAGTATTTCTTCTGTTCCAAACTGTAGTTAGTTGTTACTAATTTCTTTTTCTCTGCACTCCCATTTCTCTACCATTTTTCTGCTATCTCACTTCAAACAGGGGAAAACAGGTGAACCTGGATCTAGAGGCCCCAAAGGGTCAAAGGTTAGTAGTAAAGAAAGTTTCTTTAGGGGACTAATTAATACAATGATTTTTAGAATCAATTATTTGCAACATTTCTCTTTAAAAGGATCTGCAACCTTCTTTATAAGTGAAACCTTCTGACCTTCAATTTTAGCTAAAAATTTTAGTCAAGTCATATGGATTTTGAACACTGTGATTCTAATCTTTTTTTCTGTCATAACATCCATTCCACTCTGCTGTTGCTTTCCACATGCAACTTGGTTTCTCTCTGTGTATCTGGTGTGTGTTAGTTCTCCCACATGCCAGGACCCAACACCTGACTGGCTTTTACTGGGTTTGCAGTAATTTTGTGGATCCACACTTAGGTGAGCTAGGTGTCAGTGGTATTCCAAGTACTTCAGGCTGAGATATGATGGTCAGAAGTCCTACAAAGGCAAGAGTTGTTGGTTGCATTACTGTTTCATCTGCTTGAAAAAGACTACTTTGATTATATCTACCCATTTATCTTTATGTAGATATAGTTATTTCATATATATGGAGAGATAAAATGTATGTGTTTTCTATTACTTTATCTGCTGTGCAAATACTGTTCCCACTGGATTCCTTCATGTCATATGATGGATGAAAATGTATTTGTGTAGGTGGTCATTGACAACTCTTCTGTCAGAATAAGGGTGACAGGACAATGTAGGTGGTGTGAAACTGTTTGCAGTACTTGTAAGGTCCTTGAAGGGTGCCCTTAAGTGCTTAAAGATGTGATTAAACAAGTGCCATTTAACCTCATTCATTCCCACCAGAAAGAAGCGTTGGAAGGCAAGGGAACTGATGAGGGAATTAAAGTATCAGAGTGAGAGCAGAAGAGTAAACCTGCCTCTCGTTTGACTACAGTACTTGGGCGCCTCCCACATGCACCAAATTAAAAGGGTTTTTTTATCAAAAAAGGATGTAAGATTTTCATTTTCCCTGCATACCTGAAAATCTGGCCCACAGAAGTCAATCCAGTGGTGGAGAACTTCATTTTTTATCAGTTCCAATGTTCACTGTCTGCTGCCAAGGCAGCACTGGAAGGAAAGGCAAATGGCACAACCTTGATAATGCCCTGTCACCAGCCTGCTCTCTGTATGCCTTCATCGGCTCTATGAAATTTTCCTGGTTTCTGTGTGTTCTCTTACCACTGGTAAATTAATCATTCTTCCCTGACTTTTACCAAAGTTCTCTAAATTTCAACAGGAGCAAAATTTTCAGTCCTTACCCATATTAATTTTGAGTAATATTAAAATGTAAGACCTTGCTATGAAAGTGACTGTGAAATGAACTGTGGATGCCGGGATATGACTGCATACATGTTTGAAATTCCCTCCATCATTTGAAATATATTACTAATTGACAGGAAGAAAAAGCTGTGTGTAAACTGGTAATGATCTTAGACCTGTCACAGAAAGGGTTTCAAGAAACTCCAAATCTGACAGTACAGTTGTGTTTTTAGGGAAGGCTCAGACCAGGGAAGTTCAGAAGGTTAGTTGGAGGCGTAATTACAGAAAGAAAAGTTTATACATTTTGAAACACACATTTGAAGAAGTTTTTGACTGTTTTCAGACTGAGTAATAAATCTCTAGTATTCTCTTCAAGCTTTTGATAGTAGTGTCATTAAGAATAAGGATGTTACACAAAGTGCTTAATTGTTAATCTGCCCATTTTTTGGTTCTTTGAAATTTTTTTATTGCAAAGCAATACAACACTCTAATATTCACACAGAACAAAATGCATCATTGTCGAGTCTACCAGTACACAAATTTTGAAGGACTTTTTCCTTTCATTAAAAAAGATTCACATCCTGTTTAGGATGAGAGACCCTGTAAACCAGTTCATTTAAGAAAACATATTTAAAAGGGAAGAACTATGTGATATATTGTCAAATGGCATACCTGTTTTTTTGATGTATCATTTTTACACAGGGGGATACCGGTGAGAGAGGTGACACAGGATCTGCAGGTCCACAGGTAAGTCTATGTCTCAGCTCTTTGTTTTTTACCCTTAGATGCAGTCCATGTGAACTGAAATCGTAGCAGTAATTCCAGTTAAAACTCCAGATGAAATTTGGAGCTTGACACTGTTGGAACTTGGTTGCTAACTGGACTTTAATATGACTGACACCACTTGCCACTATTTGAAGCAGTCTCCTCTCCACAGTTTGTGGGCAGGATGTTACAAGCCAGGTGTTCTGACATTGTTCACTGCCAATACAGAACTAGAGTGTAGGAACTGCTTAAATGTCTTCCCTCAGAGGTTTCATCTATTTGCTTTCCCACTGCAGCACAAGTTACTTTGTACTGACTTGCTTATTTATCTTTACTAAAAAAAAACTTTTTCCTTTAAATTCTATGTTTTGTAGTAGTATATTACAAGTACAGTAAGCGTATAACACCACACTATCAAATCAAAGCATGTGTCAGTAGTTAAGAGTCTAAAATAGCCTTTGACAGTTGTCTCAGAATTCTAATGGAAAATATGTTACAGGGGCCACCTGGACAGAAGGGCGATCAAGGTGCAACAGAGATAATTGATTATAATGGCAATATCCATGAAGCTCTGCAGGTATGCAAACATAACAAGGCTGAATTGGCTTAGTCTGGCCTGGCAAAATGTAATTTGACAGCACTGTGTTTCTCTTTTTGCCTAGAGCTTGAAAACATTTTGTGTGCAAAATTGTTGAGCTTATTAATCAGGAATCACCTTCTATATTTGGAGACTAGGTTATGTGTGCTAGAAGAACTGTTTCCCTGACACAGATTAGCTGAGTGAATTAGTTCCATGTTCCCTGGGGAGTACTGACTTCACCTAATGAGGACAAAACTAATTCATTGCTGGCTTTGGTGTTTTAGTGCTGAATTAATGTAATAAACCACATACACAGGTTCAACAGAAGTGTCTGCTTTTCAGTTCATGTATTATAATATTGACATTTCTTTTTTTCCTTGTTTTCCTTCTCTTCTTCCTTTAAAATGAAAAGAGCAGAATATTTGAGCTTTGGAAACCATGTAACATGGTTCCATTAGCAAGCTGTGGATTCAATCAGCAACTTGAGTACATTAAGTAGACCAAGCACCAGTCTTCTCACTTATTCATTTCTGGAAAACCTATTTTGACTGGTGTGCAGAAAAGTGTGGAGGATTAAAGTGGGGTTACAAAAAGAATGAATGAGTGTTTGCATAAAAGCAAAGGACCAAGATGACATATGTCATTGAAGTCAAGGTGATTTACATTGCAGAATACTCAGATGCAAATTCTGTGCAGTATAACTCCACCAAAGTGAATGGCTTGCTTATGTGAAACTGAAGACTGGATTTGGCTCATTGTGCATCTGATCACTTTCTCACTGAAGCCGCTGAACCCTTTTCTTACATTTACGCAGTGGGAGTGGGTAGAAATCTGACCAGTCATTTGGTTTCCAAGGTACTTGCAAAAAATAAAAAAATCTCACTGCCTTTACTAAAATCTAAAAGCCTTGTATGTCACTAAGGCTGAGTCCACAGTTTCATTGTGGCTGTGGAGAAGTCTGCATAGGCATGTTGTGAGGCTCTGCATTATGTTTGCCTCATTTGGTTTGCTTGTAAAGGAATTCAGACACACAGCTTTCAGTCACCTAAATCCCTCTCGGAGTTACATGCCTAAAGTAGCCTGAAATTAATGTTGTGTATTACCAGACACAGATTTACCAGGGGCTTTAGCCCCTGCATCTCCTGTATTCTGTCTTTGTAGCATAACTCTGGCATCAGTGTTACTTTCAAGCTTCTTCAGAAAAGCTGCAGCACATAAAGAAGCCTTAAAAGTGGACTGAAGCCTTTTGCAGTGGTTGAGACATGTAAGAAGCCTTTATCCCATTGCAAATCATTCCAAATATCATCACCTTCTGATCCAGGGCAACAAATAATTTATATTAATGGGAATGGCTGTGCAAGGAGGGTGTAAGTAAGATTATATAGGATCAGTCGAAAATATCCTTGCCAAATCCATCTCAGTCCTTTCAGATGGCAAACACCCATTTCTAAGTCTCCTGGTACCTTAAATTCTTAGGGGCTCTGAGGTTTGCAGTTCTCTCACAGAAGCACGTGAGAACTTCCAGTTCTCAGCACTGAACTGTGAACTTGCACAGAATTTGGCCTGTAGATTTAAGAAGTTGAAAAGAGTTTACAAGATCTGGGCTGCTTGTCTCATGTTAGAATTTGGTAATAAATCATGAAGCAGTCTAGAAACTTAGTTACTTTGCCTTGTGCCTCCTATTCAGTCTCATGTGCAATCTTAAAATTGTCATTGTGGTTTGAACAAGACCACTGCTGAGAGTATGTGGCTTTCATTTGGAGGATCAAATACAGAATTCATCTCTCTGCTGAAATTGCTCTTCACACCTGTTCTGCAGAATTTCCCAGGGCAAAAAGCACTAGTTTCCAAAGTTTAACCTTTGTAGGAACTACAGCATTAGATATTAAAATATTTGCCACCATACAGGGATCCGCTACTGTGATTGCAAAAAAACACCAGTTCTTTGCAATAGTTATTTTAGGTTTTCATATCTAGATACTTTCATACTTGAACTTCTCAGTGTTTTTTAAGTTCTTGATATATTTCCATTAATACATTGAAATACAAAGGATATGAGTATATTAAAACCATGTGTTAGAGAACAATTTTGTGCAAGTACTTTCCATCGAGTAGGTTCCAGATCTTTGCCAGCAGTATGTATTGTTGCAGTGACATACAGAGGTTCTTCTACAGCTTAAAACAGAAGATCTGCAAACTTTTATTTTGCACATTGGATAAAAATTAGAAAAGCAAAATATTTCTTGTTCCATGTAGACCAGTTAAGTTCTTCACACGCAAAAGGAAAGCATGTGCAAGCTGCAATGTTTGGGGGTTTTACTCTGTTTAAAAATGTAGACAAGCATTTAAATTACATTTTCATACTTTTCCACTTGGTTTTAGATTCTTTGGCAAAAAAATAATAGTGATAAGTCAAGATATTTTCCCTGCTTCTATGATGAAAATATCCTTTGTCTTTCCAAGCAAATTCAAAGCTGAATACATAGATGAGTTATGGGCTGGCAGTTATGGGTTTAGAACTGCATTTTTATATGAAAATTAATGTTACATCTCCACTCCAAGAATCATATTTATTAGTTAAACATTGGTGCAGAACCTGCAGACATTACAAAACATAGGGTAGCCTTTCAGTTGGCTTCAGACACCAACACATTATGTTTTCTTAATATGCTTAAAAACTGCTTTTTGAAGACTTCTGCTTAGATTTTGCTGTTTAGTCATTGTTTATTTGATCTCTTGAATTGTACAAAAATACTGTCTTCATCTAATTCCCACAGAAACCAAGCAGCTTCAAATTCAACACCAAGAATTTAAAATAACAGAGGTTTTCTCTAGGTTTTTGAGGGCATGGTGTCTCCCACATGCAGCCTAGGTTCTGTGGAGATTATAACTAGAGCAAACAGAATTATTTATATCATTGTTTAATTCTGCTACTGACAACTTTTGTTAATACATTTTGCCAACAGAGGATTGCCACCCTGACTGTCACGGTAATTCCTATTGCATGACTTACTGTGCGTTGTAGAACTTCTCCTTTGTGCTGCAGCCTGTTCATAATTTTGTTGGCTCAGGACATGCCTTCATTGGATGTCAACCTGGTTCATCATAAGATGTACTGATTTCCTTTGCTTGGTGTTCCCATAGCAGAGAACCCATTGTTGAAAGCCAGGAATGGAACCAATTCTGCTCCTTTTGAATTAATGGCAAAACTTCGTTCATTTAAGTACGAGACTGGGAAAACACGTTCTCCTTTTTTGTTTCAAGTTCTTCTCTGCAAGGTTGCTGTTAGCTGTACTTTCCTATCTGTACACACCCTTTCATTATTAATGCAGGGGATTTCTAAATGTTGATGTGGGGTTTCTTTAAAGCATCCCCACTATGCACCATGCAGACCAATGTTTGATATATCACACTGTGTCCACAGCCTGAGGTGGAAGTGAAGGAAATGCTTACATTTCATGGCAATTTCACAAAGCACTGAGTATCCCCAGACACACTTAGAATCTTTGAGCAGAATCCTCTTTGCTTTGAGATTTCTCCTGGTCTCAGATTGTTTTGGATCAGGCAATGAGGGCTGGCAAATATGACTGGGTTTTGGTCTCCCTTCCATTAAGGGAAGCAGTGCCATTTCATCAATAGGAGCAGAGGACTTTATTGTAAAATATGAGTTGTAATGTTATTTTAACACTGCTTTTTGTGGTAGTGTTGTGGTTGTTGAGAGCTGTCACAGATTAACAACTTGTCCATGACTGGTCTTGGTTCCACTTGTGTGAAAAATCTAACCCATTTTGTTACAGTAGCTGTGTTAACATTCACCCTGTGCTTACAAGACAAGTTCTTCAGGAGTTTATTTCAAAGCTGAGAGGTTTGTATGTTTCTGTTTAGGGACCACCAGGACCGCCAGGACCCCAAGGGCTGCAAGGGTCAAAGGTGATCTTCTTTACTCATTGTACCTTAAGGGTGGAGTATTTTCTGGTTTTTTTCAAATGGTGTATATGTACAGGTAAATGGAGCTTTCCAGCACAGTTGTTTAACTGTAAATTTAAAAAATATGGCATGTTTCTGACTTTCTATGCAAGATTCTTGAGATGTAGCTTTCCAGAATAGGTGCTTTAATTGCCACACACAGATGCTTAACTAAGGACCAGCAAAATGAATTTTTGCTGAAAGAGTGCAGAAGCATCTCACTCAGGGATCAGCACTCAGGTTGCTCCCTAGGACTTTGCAAAAGTGTCCACCCAACCAGACAGAGGCTCCCATGCCTCACTTCTGGCTGAGTGGGAATGAGGTGGGCAAAGCTGTGTGCAGGACCACTGGCCACCGTGTGAGTGCATGTGAATGCAGCTTTTATATCACGGGGGCACCCACCCAAATAAGTGCAGTGTTGTCTAATGTCAGTAAAAATTACAAGGTACACATGTGGGCAGGAGGCTGGCTGGAAACCCAGGCCTGCCAATACCACCTGGCTGGTGCTCATAAGTAGTACAGAAGGTTAGTGAGCAGCCCACACAGAGACAATGAATACCATATGCTGCACTGTTCTATAAAATTTAAATAATATATTTGCCTATACTTAAAAAAGAGGTGTTGAAGTTAGTGGAGTCTCCCTTAATGTTTTTAAACTAGTTGAGATGTTTCTCCTATTTCTTAAATACTAGATACCTCATCTTCTCGCAGTGTCTCTACACTGTTCCAAGAGCAAATATGTGCATCTTCAATAACAATTCTAGACATTTCAGTTTTAGACTTTATCCAGTATTTCATATGGAAATATATCACAATACACATGTACACTGTTTCGAGAAATTGTGAGAAACAAGGTTCATTCTATATGAAAATTGATAGTAGAATATACAGTGAAGTGTGCAGAAATTGCTTTTTTGCATTGTCATCTATCCAGCAATTCTGCAACATATGGAGTATGTTGTAAAACAGAGAAGTTGGAGTGTCAAGAGGTTGTGTTCCTTCATACAGATGAGCATTCTCATTCAAAATTTACAATGTAAAGCAGAATTCAGCATCACAGGAGTTTGTTTCTAATGTAATTGACTCCATCCATCACCATAACTTGCTCCCTTAGAGAATGCTACCCAGGAACTGGTCATAAGACAATGTGGTGGATGTGAGCTCCTTCACTGGGTGATTTGTAATAGGGAAAAAAACCATGAAGTTTCTCTTGTCCTTACATAAATTGGGGGGCATGATATTCTGTATTTATTCTGGTAGCAGGCAAAGTTTCCATTGGATTGGGGTCTTTTCACCTCTGGGATTTTGTCTTCTTTTTCCTTTCTTTTTATGCACTTGTCTGGCCTTTATACAAGCCAAAGTTTGTGTAATGCCATGCTCAGCTTGGCTGTTTATTTAATATAGGTATTATCTATATGCTGGATTTTTTGACAGAATATTCTCTAGCTTTATTGTTGTTAATTATGGGAATTTTTCTGGATCTTTCCTCTAATATCTGGGACAATTGGGATAATCCATTTCTGTCTTATCTCTTACAGGGTGAACCAGGATCCCCAGGAATTCCAGGAGCTGATGGAGAACAGGTACATTTTGCTTAAGTCATGTAGTGAAGGACATGTGAGCAACCACAGGTTGTTTCAAGAGATTATTTCCATGATCCCAAGTTTCAACTTAGGTTTCATAATCTAAATAATATGATGGTAATGATTAATAAAATCATTATAGTGTTGCTGCATAATCTGTGATCTAATAATGTTCTGCATTTTAATAGCAAAGATATATGCAGCACATGACTTCTGCTTATTAAGATCAAAGCTAGAATTCTGTTGGTGTACCTAAGTTTTTTACATGACTTGCTGAATAATTCCATATTTTAGGGTCCTAAGGGCTCAAAAGGAGACACAGGTGATCCTGGAATGCCTGGAGAAAAAGGGGGAATTGGACTGCCTGGCTTACCAGTGAGTATGACAAATAAATTAATTCATTTTAGCAAAAATATTTCTGTTTTTTTCTCTCTTCCATTATCAGGAGTTTCCAACAGTATTGACAAATTGCAAATGGGAGGGAAAGAAACTGGGGAGAAAATTCTGAGATCATTCTGAAGCTAGTCTAGGAGGAGGTATAAGATTGTCAGAGCTTTTCCTCCACTTACAGTGAAAAAAAAATACTGGGTTGGGGAGAAAGAGGTTAGTTGGCAGGCTGACCAAAATTGTGCCACTCTTGTAATATATAGTACAACATGGGCAAGGAGAAAGGAGCTGTGTTTCAAATGGAAGTTTCAGGTGTCTTAGATTGAGGAGGGAGAAAAAATGCATAATTATTTATGGGATGCATTCTTCCTAATCTGTGTGTGTGTATATAGATACATATACATACACATGAAATTTCTCAGCAAAAACAGAAACAATTTCAAAATTGTATCCGTAGTACAATACATTATGAATGGAGTGCCAGTTTAAGGAATTGTCATAAATATCGTGCCACAAATGATAGCTATCAATATGAAAGCATGTGTTTATATTATTTTTAAAGTAGTGCCAGATCTTTTTAAGGATTTCCTTTTTTTAAATGATAATTACTTGCAAATAAATATTATCATTTCTAGATTGTTTGATTTCTAGATTTCTAGTTTATAAATGCTGTTTTGTAATGATTTTTAGGGAGCCAATGGCATGAAAGGCGAAAAAGGAGACATTGGTTTGCCTGGTGCCCAAGGTCCTTCAGTAAGTCCTAGTGTGGCATTGCAGTGAACACAGGAATCCAGCAGTGGTTCTCCAGCTTCTTGATATTCATGACTGATCTTTCCTGAGAAAGAACAGACTTCTAGTCATAGAGCTAAATGCAGTTTAAGACATTTCAAAGATATAATTCCTGTTCTGTTCTGTGACTATGAACATGTTCTGCTTGCTCCAGTCAAAGTCTTCTGGGTCTGTAATGAATCAAAAGATAAATGGGGAAGAAAGAAAAAAAAACCCAAACAAGCCATAATCTCTCTCAACACCCTATACTCTGGGAATCTCAGATAGTGCAGTGAGAACCAGCCTAGACTGACTTTAGGTATGTGACCAGCAGAGTGAGCTAGTTGTATGAGACCACACATTCTCATGATTTCTTTATTTTTTTCTTTTGTTTTAAACATTGTAAAGGCATCAAACAGACAAACAAACCCAAAAAAACCAAACACACTCCTGCATGGTACCTTTGTGGTGTGGGTGACTTTCATTATCAGAGCAGAGGTTAGTGACAGAAGCCATAGCTCTGAGAAGTCAAAGAGGCTGCCCTGTGCCATTGCAGGACACAAGAGGCACCCCACATCTCTGAGTTTCTTTCTATAAGAAGATTAGTTTGTTAGAAATTAATTCACTAATTCATTCATCCTGTTCTGTGTATTTTCACTTGAAGGAAGACTTACAGTTTTCAGGAGATTTCACAGCTGGTGGAATCTGTCTTACATTTCAGTGTGTCTTGTTGCTGTTTTTGCCACCACTGACAGCTACTACAGCAGTGCTTGAGTCTGGAGACCTGTGTCAGCATCCCTGCTGCCACTCTGCAGGCTATGGCAGCAACCCATGGGATTGAATGGAGAAGGTCCAGGAAGAGAGGGGATATAAGCTGGATATATCATCATGAAATTCTTTCCATGGATTTGTTAGGAACACGGAAAACCAGTGCAGAATATGCGTGCACTAAACACCGAGCAGCCCGATTACCTATTTTAATGACCTCAGAGAATTTTTGGTACAAGTGGGCTAAAAGAAATAAAAGGAGAGACAAAGGGCAATTTTGAAATTATGCCAAAGCCCAGCTTGAATTTAGTATCTTTTCCATTTGTCAATGTTGAGAAGGAATAAAATAACACATCATCACCTTCTGGCTCTGTAGATTAAGTAGTAGAAGAGAGAACGAAAGAGCACATACCATAAAATATAAAAAGTTCAAGCACCCCTTCTCAGTTCTGTTTGTTTTACAGGGATTTATTGTTTTTCCCCCATAGTGCCTTAAAGTGTATCATAGGCCCTAGGAATAAGAATCTGGAGACAGGCACACTGCCATATGGCACAGGCAGATCTGCACTTGGGGTACCCTGTCTTTCAAATCAAAATAATTCCCATTCTTAAAGCCCTGTCTAGATGTGCTGTCAATGTTCACTGCTGCATAGCTGTTTTTGTAAGTGCTTGCCAACAAGGGTCAGCCTGACTTCTGGTATTTTTGTGGGAGTTCTTTGCTCTGCATGATTTAATACTATTGTTTTTTATCTGTAGATGGTAGGACCACCTGGACCACCAGGGCCACATGGTCCTCCAGGCCCTATGGTAAGCTTGGGGAGGAACAGAGGGGCTGGAAATGGTTAAGCCCTCTTGCCGCTTTATTGCCTGCTTACTGAAAATGTTAACAGAATATGTTGCCATTAAAGAGGAGACCTAACTTGGAGATCTTTTTGCATGTCTTAAAATTCACAGGAGGTGGAGAAACGAATTGCACATTCCTGTTATTGTTAACATGCTAATGGTCTGGTTCCTCCTCAGAATCAGGTGTTTACTATTGTTTTATTGACAGCTGCATTTATTTTGAGAGTCAAGAAATACAGAGGCAATTTGTGTCCCTATGAAGCAAAAACTCCAAGAAATCGTGGTGTATTTTCATAATGAAAAATGTTACTTTTATTTTCAGGGACCTCATGGACTGCCTGGCCCAAAGGTAAATTAATACCTGTCTTGAATAGACAAGCTCTTTATGCCTGCAAAGTGTCACGCTTTGCTCTTGAATGCATGCAGCTATGTTTTGTCATGCCTCATTAAATAAATGTTTCTGATATTCTTAAACCTTAAAGCAGATTTCAATATTAGCAGCTTAAAAGCTTTTTAAATTTTCTGTGATTGTTTCTGAGTAGTATTTCTCCTCAGCATTGACTGAGTCCATTTTTCATATGAATACTCAGGATGTGGCACTAAATTATTTAGCTTCCTGTTTATGGGCAAGCTACCATTGCACTTGGAATTACTTTGGAATACAGAAGCATGTTACAGGCTCAGGAAGTGAAGTCAGATAAACTTGTCTTCATTTAGGCTCTCTTGTATCTCCTGCTTCTTCCAGTCTCCATGGCCTTTGTTAGGTGACAGGTGTTTTACTGACCAGTTCCTTCACATGAACATGTGGTTCACCATCACAAACTGATGTGTGCATTTTCATGTTTTCCAAACTGGATTCATGATCAGACAGGTCTGCAATACAATTTGAACATTTTCCATTGCATAGATATTCTTTAGGGACTCTCTTAGCCCATGAGAACAGCTCAGGAGAGTGGAAGTGAACTTTGGCAGAGTTGAAATATTTTAATTTGTGCTTTAATTCAGTAGTCACCAGTAAGTTAAAATTCAGCATGACACTGTATTCATTAAGGCCAGTGATCTCATCAGGCATAATCATTTAAATCACTATGGCTCCCTAATCACACCTTTTTAAAAAAAATAAGGAAAAGGAGGAAAGGGTGTTTTCTGTGTAGTTTTGGGGGTTTGTTTTGGGTTTTTAAAGGTGCAAGACAGAAAATCACAGGTTTGACCCCTTATGAGACTGTGTTACCTTGGCTCAAGAAACCTAAGTCATAAATCATTTTTTGAAATCAAGTATGTTCCATTTTAGCACCAGCCCTGCTTTACCTCAGGCTTTTGGCCTGAGACTCAGGCTTTGTGGGATTTCTCAGGTCTGTTTCCAAAACTTCAGCGTTTCCAGTGCTACTGCTCTGAAAGTCACATCGAGTCTAATAGAATAAGGATGAAGAAATGGCTGCTAAGGGGGCAAAGCAGGCAGATGATGTCTGGAGTTACTTAAAGGAGCAGACTGGGTTCTACTGAGATTGGTGGGGGTTTTTTTAAATATGAATATAATATAAGGTAACATAATACATCAAAGGGAAATCTAGCAATGAGGCCATGGGGAGCAGCCTGGATAAAATACCCACGTATTTCTGTTTCCCAGAAGAGGCAGGTGTGGTCAATACTCTCTTTGACTGAGCAGCCCTCATGCTGATGCAGTTTTTCATTATGAGAGAATGATTTATTGGCAGCTCTGAGCCCAGTATTATCATCTTAGTGATGTTTAATGTAATAGCCTATGCATAATTTAACAATCACAACAAGTGCCATATCTTACATTGTTAAAATTTCTCTTTATGAACACAGAAACTGTGGACCTCCCAAACAGTTTGGCATTGTATAACCTGTACTGTTTCTTTTAACTTGTTACTGTTTATTATGTATGCTTAAAGGTTTAAAATATCTTTATGTAAGATTTTGCTGCAAATTCCAGTTTGCTGTTAGGGAAAGTGTTGCTTCCTTACCAAATGTACTTTTCAGGAGATCTCCCTGTAGAAACCTGCAGTTTTGACATTTATTTTTATGAACATTTTCTTTCAGTTTGAATTATCTGCATAGGGTGGTTTATGGGATTTGAGGAATTTCCAAAACCCCCTGAAACTCGTGCTTAATTCAAACCTTCTAACTGTAATGATGATTATTAGGAAAACATTAAAAAAATCTGTTACCCATAAGTTTCCTGCAGGTTTTTTTAACACACATTTTAACTCCAGCAGACACTGCCCAAGTATTTTTGCCCACTGTTTAATCAGTATGTAAAGTACAAGCTGAGAAGGTTGAATTTGTTCAAACTGGAATTTGCAGCTACTTCTGAGACTGGCTTCTTCTATCCCAGCTTAAACACCCATTGTAGCACCAAAACTTTGGCATTTATACTTTTACGTTTAGGGTGAACCAGGGTTAAATGGTCTTAAAGGATTGAAGGGTGAACCAGGTCAAAAGGGTGACAGAGGGCCCCTTGGTCTTCCAGTAAGTAAAAAACCCCAACTATTCAATTTCAGTGCAAATCACAAACGTGTCTTTCTACTCCTCATGAACAACTCTGATTTACTCAATGGCATATGCAGAATATACCATGTTGGAGCAGAGCATCACTCTTGTTTTGTTTTGTCCCAAATCTGTGCTATCATCCCAAGTAATGTCCTGTAACACCCAGTGCTGTCAGGTTTTTTTCTTGTTGTTGTGTGTCAGTTGAGATTGTTCAGTGTCACAAGGATGTCATCACCCCCATTACATTAGTCGTGCTGTTATCCAAGTGTTGTTTGGTGTTTCCATTAAAAAAGGAGTCTTCCCTTTCCCCCGTCTCCCCACTTATTCTTCCTCTCATTGCACTTCTGCAGTTCAAATGGAGAGGTCTAATTGAGGAAAGCTAAAAAATTGGTTTAGGGAATTAAGTTGCAAGGTTGGGTTTTTTTTCTGGATTTTTATTTTTGCCTTGTTCTTTAGAAAATTCCCATTCTGAGTGTTTGGCATGGTTTTTGTCTTACAAGTGAAGAAGCTCAAAAATACGGAAACATCAGAGTTCTTAGAATTTAGGTTGATAAAATAGAAAATACTTTTTGTGTTTAAAAGCATGCTGAAAATCCAGCTTTTTTTTTTTTTTTCTCAGAAAAAGAGTTCATTTTTCCTCTTTGCTGTTGTTATTGTATGAGGGTTGCTCCCAGTGATTACATTGTTAACAGTAAAATGGAGAAAAATGACTTAGTTGACCCAAAGGAACACAAACCTCTGTGATTAATATTTTCAAGAATTATGTGCAGGGCCTCTGGACAAGCTCAGCGTCACCGAGAATTTTAATTTATTTTGAGAAAAATAAAAGCTCATTTTCACACTGACAGTTACATCTCTGTAGAGAGTGAGCTTTGGACACCTGAGCCCTGAAAATGGCTACAAAGTAGAAGAGACCAGCACAAAATATGCTATTACATTTTCCAAATTTACACAGACCTTGTACTGCTCCTGCTTGCTACTTCTAAATGTCATTTTCAGGAGCAGAGCCCAAGCGTTTGACGTTCCAAATAAACGGCTCGTTTTATGGAGTTGGCTGGAGATTGTAGCTGGGTTTGTTTGGGGCTGGTTTGGTTTGGTTTTTAGGAAGCAGGGGTGCTGTGCAGGTTATTCCCTGTGCCCTGTGCCGCTCTGTTATTCGCACAGAACCCACGAGGGGTCCCCCCGTCCCCAAGGATGCTGAGGCTCATGGCCCGGCGTGCTGGGACGGGAAAACAGGAAAAGTGATTGTCTGCCGGCCGCTTGGAAATGAATGAGCCCATTGTGGTTCAGGATCCCGATTTGGTTGGCTGCATAATGCAGTATTCTTGCACTTGAATATTTCCTATCGCAGTTAACACGCGTTTTTCTCCCTTTGTGTATACTATTCTGTATTGTCGCTGTTTGCAAATTAGAAAACATGCGAGTAAATGACAAAGTAAATATTTGTGTGCTCAGGCTCAGAAACACCCTAACATCTGGTGTTTGTAGCACTCCTATGGCCTGACAATATTCTGCTCCAATGTACTTGCTGCCAGGGCAGGGGTGGGTCAGCGATGTTATGCTGAGGTGAGAACAGAATCGGGCTCTCGGTGTTTTATGTGAATTTTTAACTAACATGCTGTTGTAGTAATGTGATACCCGCTCCAGAACCCTGTCACAGCGTGTACTGTACGTTTGAATTGTGTTTATTCATCAGCACCACTTACTAATCTCACGTTCTTGTCATTCGTGTCGTGCCCATCATCCATGCTTCCACCTAACCACACAGGGAGCATCTGGCTTAGACGGAAAGCCAGGAGCCCGGGTGAGTCCCTTGTCTTTCTGTGTCCCCCTTGGTGACAGTCCGTGTGCTCCCCAGGGGCTCTGCCAGCCAAGCTTGCTCACTGCACACAGGAAGGAAGGCCAAACACTGCAGGCATTTTCCATGCTGCATGAGAGGGGGCTTCGAGCAGATTTTTAGGGCAGTATGTGTGGGAAGGAGAATGTAATTCTCTGCAGAAGGAGCTCCGAACATTAAAAAGACAGCTTAGTTTTGATTTTTGGTTGGGCAACTGCCTTGGATGGGTTGTTGGTTTTCCTGAGTAAGGTGAGGGATTTAGCTTACAGGAGAGCATAGATGTTCACTGCTAATATGGAATCAGTGAAGGAAATGCAGGTGTGCTGGGGTTCATCTACAGACGCTGCTATATTACACATTCTAGGTGCTAAATCTCTTGCTTTCTTTAATGATAAAGAAGTCTATGCAGTGGAAGGGTTAATTTTGGAAGTAAGAGTCTTATTGATCCCTGCAATAGGTAAGTCCATCTTACAGGTGGACATTTCAATTTAAAGAATAATCAATTTCAAAAATAAAACAATAATTTAAAGTCTTTTTTTGACCCTTACATCTTCTTCCAATCAGTTTAAGGTCTTTGTAAATCTGATTGCTTCCATGGATGTAATGAATTCCAGGCAGAAGAAAGCTGCTCTGCCCTTTAACAGGAGAGGTCATAGGTGCAGTTTAGAGAGCCAAATAGGGTGCACCACAATTAAATCCAAGTTTTCAACCAGTGAAGACTGATTCCATGTTAGTTCTTGAGTACAAGACAGCTGTTAAAACGGAAGAGTTGTGAGAACAATCCCTCTTACCCTCTTTGTTCCTTTTTGTAGGGTATAGATGGCCCGGTTGGTCCCCATGGCCCTGCAGGTCCCAAAGGAGAGAGAGTAAGTATATGTTCCATAAGTATATGTTCTCCTTACAAAGTGACTGCCACAATGGAAAAATGTCGTGTGGGGACTCATGCAGTGCCCAGGTGTTACAGAACAGGACAGTATCTCACCTGTAGAGGAGCAGCCCAGAACTCTACATGCGTTCTGGTTACACACACATTCATCTGTTTGAGGTTGACTCCTTAACTTCAGGGGAGTTGATATTTTGAAATGACTAATCACTAAGAAATTGACTGGACTTTTCTAGTTCACGGTGCCACAAACAGAACACGATTTGCACTAGCTTCATTATGTTGTATAAATTGAGACAGCAAACTGATACAAAAGAAGATAGTGTGATCTGATTATATAAGAATGCAGTGGCAAAAAAAAAGAAAAGCATTTCTCTCCTATATGCACTTAAATGATTTTATCCAGGAAAAATACTTACAGCCTCTGTAAAATTTAAACTTTTTTTTTTTCCCAAAGCTTAGAAGACAGGAGCCATGCTATTTAATTTGGAATATTCACAGTAAATTTTCTCTAGTAGAAATAGGACAGGAACTCCAATCTTTAACTATAAGCCTGTCACCTTTAACAATACAACCATCAACTTACACAACAAACCAGAAGGTGATATCCTTACTAAAACCTCCAAGAATTTGCCAGTCCAGAACTTTGTCTCTTTGACTTCCTCACTTCAACAAAACAACTGTGCTAAAACAACTTCAGGCTAGCTGTGTTAAGGACACAGCCACATTGCAGAGGTCCAGTTAGCTTCATCTGAGAAAGGTAAGATGCATTTTTACAGAGCTGTGTATTGAGGGGTAAATACAATGCTATATGCAGCATAGTCCAAATTAAACTGTACAGTAGGCTGCATTTACCACTCAGGCTAGTTAAGTGTCTGAACAACTTGAGTATTTTTTCTGTTTTCCTAGGGGATTACTTAAATTCAATTTTTCATTGAAAAATTCATTTCATTTTCATTTTCAATTCAATTAGGTTTTTCCTTTGTTTAGGACAAAATACATCTCCTGTCAACTCTGTCAAAAGATAGTTGAACATCCTCTAATCTTAAGTAAATAATTTAGATGAGATAGGCATATAGAAGTACATAAAAATCCTGTACATTTATTCTTGCATTATGAGCTTTTATGTTGAAGGATATGCATGTGTACTACCAGTTGAAATGTCTTTGACAATGCAATATGATATAAACTATTATTCTTGTCTTTGGAGGAGAGCTACTAATATTTTTTATTATTTTTTTGCAAGGGTATGCAAGGTCATAAGAGCTCATGCAGCTGGATCTGGAATAAGCCCTACTGTAGCTGTTGAAAAGCAGTAGCTACAAAGGGGATAGGATTTGCTGTGATGTAAATCAGTAATTGCATGAGCATAGAAGGAGAACTTCACAGAAATAGAGAGACCAAGGTGTGCAGAAAATTCCTTCACACCCTCCATTTTCTGTGGAGCTAAATGAATGGGAGGAAGTTCAAAGACAGGTGGAATTTTTTTTCACAAGCGGGCAACCAGCAGGATTATTGCTGTAATTGTTCCTGTAATTATTCAGTACCATTTGGGAGGAGAAGGTGTTTGTAGCATAGTTATGTAACAGGTGCCCAGTATTGATGTATGTCTCATTATTTAAATAACAAATCATGCCTTTTTAATGCTGTTTTTCAACTTGCATTTGCAACTGCTGAACTTGCCTATGTGTAAGCAGGAGTGAAACATTTTTGTCTTCAGATTTTGGACTTTTTAATTAAAAGCAGTGCACAGGGCCAGTGTTCACTGTCACTGAATAGGGCCCCATTTTGTCTGTATTGATAAGAAAAACCTTGGGCCAATATAAATCTAGAAGGGCATTAGGGCTGTTTTACCAAGTAATCATGAATTCATTGTTGTAATAGGCTTCTGAATCTCACTGTGCTCCTATTATTTTCACTTACATACTGTCTTGAGAGAAAGGAGAGAACACTGGAAAACAGATAAGACATCTTCAGCTACTACAGATGGAAAGGAACATGTAAGCCTGAAGGGTGATGACAGGCATAATGTATATCCAGCTTCTTGACCAACTAAAGGAATCTGAGAGCTGGAAATACACATTTTTCTTTTTCTTTTTTTTTTCATTGATGACAAAGACCTGGTTTTGTGCTTGATTTTGGCTTTTAGATGTATAGCCTGTGCAACACTGTCATTACACACAGTTAGTACCAGTAGGTAAAGTGTATTCTCTTTAATTTGGTTAAAATGTTTCTCACCATGACAGTGTTATGAAATCTCCCTAACTATCCTAATGGAGACACAGATTATTCAGCTTTATTCATGCAAATTGTAACTCATATTTGTCCATGATTCAGGAGACTGAAGTGAGATAGGAGGCAAAAACATAGGTTATGGTTTCTATTTTTTAGACACGGATGGATTGTCTTACCAAAAAAAATGTAAAAATCTTGAAGTTTGCCAATATCTGCTACCTGGAAGGAAATCATGATGGTTGAGGGCAGTATATTCATGACAGTCCAGAAATCTCATATAATCCATGATATTCAGGACCTCATCTGATATTCCAAACGTGTTTCAGCATGTGCTTTGTATTGGAGGCAAAAATTTCTGTGATACGGTTCTCCAAATATATTCTTACATAACAGACAATATTATCTCCTAGACTGATACATTCAGTATCTTTATATCTACCATATGTTTAGTAATGCTATAAGCCTATCTTGAGAGGACTTTGTACAGCCATCTTGCTGTTGAAGATTAAAGAAAAAAAAGGTGCTTAACTAGTCTCGATATATTTCAAGTACTGATCGAAGAGTAGCTCTTACCTACGTAGGTCAGCACATTAATTTCTTCTTAGCAGAAAACTTGAAAGTTTCAAGGGATTTATTGCTTTGAACATCAGCTATTACTTTCCAATACCTGCTATTGTCCTGCCAGGGCATCCAGCCTAAGTGCTGCTCAGAAATTAGCAGAGGAGTAACAGAGTCCAGAAACACCTGACACTGCACATCTCATTACATCTAGACTAAAGCAAGTGCCCACCAAAGAAACATACAAAGTATTTAAAACAGATCAAGTGTCAGTTACTCTGACAAACTCCTTATTGCTGGGATTATTCAACCACAGGTTAAGGTCCCACGTGTATTGGCACCTGCCTTTTTGTATAATTCAGTCAATGAAATTTAGACACAGCAGCCCATTTCCAGAGCTGTGCCAAGTACTTGGCACACATTAATTAGGCAGAAATCTGCATCTCTGTCTTCTGCTTTTAATGATGGAGTCATCAATGAATTAATAATAAGCTGTAAATAACCCAGAGGATGTTGTACAGAGAATTATCTCACAAGCAGAAGTGCAGCAAATGCTAGGATGAAGCACAGCACTTCTGCACACCAAGAGCCTCGCACGAAGCCCTGTGTTAGGGTGTGTCCAGCAAAGGGGGTGACAAAGGGATCCAAGTCACCCTGCATAGAAAATCCAGATTAAGAACTTTGAAAACTAGAGGTGGTCAGGATTTTTTTCTTTTACTGCATCAGCACTTTGAGCAGTTCAGTTCTCTCCAGAGAGAAATGCTTTTCTGATGGGTCTAATTCAGAAGAAAGAACACAGTCTGCAGTAAGGCTGCTTTCTACACTTTCTTCCCAGCCCTGACTCCCTACCAAGCTCGCAGGGACCTGTTCTTGCAGTAACAAGGGCTAGTCCTGGCTGGCTTGGGAAGCTTAACTTCATATCAGCCTTGATAAAGAACAATTAAAAGAGCAAAGGTGATTATTACTGTCAGCCTGAAATTTGTCGCCTTGAAATTCCATAACATTTGGAAAAGTTTACCCTGTATTAAGCTTGCAAAATTACTTTGCAAAATTACCCTTCTGGAAACTGGTAATTTTTTCTGTGGATTTTAGTGCAGAATGAGATCAGACTTCTGGAGTAATCTCTGTATTTGTTTGTCTTGCATATTACTGAAGTTGTTTTGATTTTAATAAACCAGGGTATCTACATTGCTTATCTAGAATCCAATAGAGGATTTAGCAACACAGCACAGTGCATAGGATAATCTTCACAATGTCACTGTTAATAGCATTGCCTACTTAAATCAAGCTTTGACTGACTCATTATTTTTGCCTGTCACTGTGTTGGATCTCAGCTGCTGTGTATATATACAGTTTGATGCTGTATATCCTCAGCTTTCATTACAACTTTGGATTTTTACTGAGAGAAACATTAAGCTGTTAAAAGCTTAAACTTGACACTGGTGCGTGTTCAGTTGAAACATATTTTCAGTTAATGTATTTCAAAATTAGTGTGATATCGTATGCCTAAAAAAAGTCCTTTTGCCTAGAAATTAATACACACCTTCTCTTTCCCCCTTAAATATCTAATAAAAATAAATGAGCTTGGATATTTTCCATCAAAATACTTAGGAATGAATAAACTTTAACCTAAAGCACTCGGTAGAGATAATTTCTGAGATAGCCAGTGTTTTTGTTTGCTTGTTCTGTAATCTTTTCTTAGGGTGAGAAGGGAGCTGTAGGTGACCCTGGACCCAGAGGACCGTACGGCTTGCCTGTAAGTTGCACAGAGTTTGTACACACTGCACTTTTCATCCCTCCCTGATTAAACTTTGTGTGCTTTATGGCTGATTTTCACCTAGCAGTAGAATTAGTTGGAAAAGGCAGAGATTGATAATAGACCCACACAGTGCAAGGTCAGTGGTCTGTATCACACTCTTGGGGTTCTACCCGTGCACATAAAAAAACAGACCTGACATGAACCAGCAGGAGAGAGGAGATGCAGAATGCAGGTGCTCCTGGTTCAGCAGCCTTTGGCCATCAGCTGCCATGTGAGAGTGCCAAGAGTTCAGGAGGAGCTGTGGAAAGCTGAGAATTTCTTAATGTCAGTAAGCTGCTTGGATTTCCATACTGCAAGGTTTCTTCACCATTATGGTTTTGTTTTGTTTGTTACTTCAGAGACCCATTTTGTTCTCATTTCTCTGCTGTCTACTCAGAAGCAATGTGAGAATTTCATTGTTGCTAATTCATAGGTGGAAATTATTTGTTTTGAATCAGTAATTATAATTATGTTATCCATTTCTAAAATATGAGGGAGAACTTCCTTTGGCCTGACAAGGAGGTCAATTAAAACCAGTTGACTTGCCCTGTTTACACTGGTAATGACTGGGTCAGGTGTGTACATATACACATGTCTGTTCTGTACTCTGATGCAAGGAAAGTCATGTAAATGTGCTTGGCCAGGCACAACCAGCCTTTCCAGGAGACTTGCAGTGTTTCCATACCCTTTCCTGTCTAATCTGCTTGATTAATTAATTTAAACTGGAATACAAACCTGTGGTTTAATTGGATCCATTTAATTGGATCAGGAGTCAGTGGCTGGAGAGAGTTTTAAGGCTCCATGGAGTGTTAAATTAGCTTGCCACACATTTTTATGTGGGAGTCACTTTTGCAAGTTAAATTTGAAAAAAGAATCCTATTTCTGTTTCCTATTCCTGCAAACTAAAAATAAAATTTTATAGATTTTTCCTGTATTTTTAGCTTGCTTTTGGAATCTGCCTGCAGACAAAATTTTTCAGTCAAGCAAGATTTTGCAGCCAGGTTATCAGTTCCTGGAAATGTAAAACGTAGGCAGCAGTGTCCTTGTCTGAGGGAAGCTAATACAGCTCCTGTGGTTCTTTGGCAGGGCAAAGACGGCGAGCCTGGCCTTGATGTAAGTAATGTGTGTGACCAGGGCACTCTCAGGGGTCGGTAAGAGTATGCCAAAAAATCCCTTATGGAGTACAACACCTCTGCTGCCCTTTAGTGTGCATGCAGTACCTGCAGAGAGTGTGGTGAATGCTGTGTTTGCTCTTTCTCTGTGGGGAACAGGACAAAGATCGTGCAGTGTACAGCCCTTATCGACAGACACCACCAGATAGTTGTGCTTAGCAATACAAGTACTTGGTCCTTTGGATGTCAGTAGGCTGAAAAAAATACTTGCTAAGAAAATATTCAGATGACTCATTTGTAGAAGGAGTCACTTAGCACTTTAGTTAGCTAAATTTATTCTAATTGAAGAGAATAATTCCATAGCCTGTAAGGGATATGTTTCAAAACATAGGCTCTTTCCTTGGCATACTGAAAAGACTTTCAGTAAAGTCTCTTTCTGTAGTCTTCCACTGAAATCCCTAACTTGAGGAGTCTTTTTCAGAATGCACATATTCTGTGTAGCATGGATGATTGCTAGTTTGAGTTGCATGATTTCTTTCTGTAGCTGCCAAAATGTCTCTGCCAAACTGTGTGACTTACTCATCTCACATACTCTTGTGTCTGTGCATGTGTCCACACATAACACACATATATGTACAGGGCATGCAGTGAAATCATCTCTTTAGGTTTCTCCAAGAGCATTTGAAAACTCAATCTGCATGTTAATAAAAGTCAACCTGTCTTTGTCCGTTTTGTTTTTATAGGGTTTCCCTGGTCCTCGAGGAGAAAAGGGTGATATAGGAGAAAAGGGAGAAAAGGTGACCACAGTGTTATTAACTGTTGCTTGATTCCTCAGCTAATCAGTTCTGCTGTCTTTATGCTATGAATTGTCCTGTTAAAACTTTTGTTTTTACTGTGTGCCAAAAGGCAAGTCACAGATATGTGCTAGAGCAAACCCATGAAAAAACACAAAAATGTATGTACAGGACCAGTAATACCAACATGACCCCAAAGCACAACCTTCTTTTTAGGCTCATTTTCTCCAATCCATCCTGCACTTGTTGAAAGTTCTGAAATATTTAATGCAGACATTAGTGGTAGTGATCTTATACCGAAGAGCCCAGCTCTGTTCCCTGGCAGTATTTGCAGACTAATGGTTGATCCTGGTGTAGCATGCCTGTACATGCTGCTTGTCCCACACCAAGTGGCTAAGACAGGAACTGTCTGAATTTTTATTTTTGGCAATGTTTTATTTGCAGTTAAGGGCTTTGTTATACTGGTGGATTGAAATTTAAAATTATATACTCTACCATTCTGGTAAACCAGCTAGACAGTGAAGTTAACAGAAACAGCCTGACTTCATTTGCAGTGCCCAGACACAGTGAGTTGGAAATCACTTTAGTGAAAAGCAGTACAGGATTTAATGTGTGTAGAGAAATTTCATGAGCTATTTCTCTTCCATTTCTAGCCGACAAAAGCCCAGTTGTTAAAATTGCTGAATTAGAACACACACAAAAAATCACCATGGGTGATAGGATCCATCTCCATTTCTTAATATGGTTAGGCAAAACATTTCCCAAGAATGCATTGAAAAAAGTATTATAAATTTCTTCCTTCCCTTTTGTCCCTGGGTATATTGCTCTTTCTTTTGAGCTCAGAGATCACTGGTAAGGTACTGATTTTGCAGAACAGCAGTTGTTTAAGCAGGTGCTCCATGTCTATTAGAAAAGCAGAGTATTACCTGGCAGAGTAATCACAACGGGTGGTGAGCCCTTGCTTGCTGTCAGAGTATGGGTCTGTCTGTCACCAGTGAACAGCTTTTCTCCTCAAGAGGTGTAGCTGATAACAGCTCAGAGAGGTGGTGGTCAAAATGCTCTTTGTGCTGAGTGCCAGATTGATTGAATGAGCTTAGCAGTGTGTTCTCACCCGGGATACCTGCGAAGAGTTGTGACCAGAGGATAAAAATTATGTAATTACATAATTACACCTCTCTCATCAGTTCCAGTGAGGTCACTTGAATACTGCAGATGGACTTTTGAGCCTCACAGTTCAAGAAAAAAACAGAGAGCAAGGAGGTTACCAAGCTGGCAGGGGTCTGGGGCAAACACAACCCGTAGCAGAGGCTGGAGGAGGTGGGCTGGCATAGTCTGACAATGGGGAGGCCAAACTACTTGAAAGGGGAGATAAAAGATGACAGAGCAAAACTCTTCTGGATAATGGCAAATGCGGGACCACAAGCTGCTCCTGAGAGGTTCAGAGCAATTGTTCACAAGGAGGACAGCACAGCACAGCACTGGGACAGTGAGTCCAGAGAGGAGACTGAACCTCTGCCCAAGGGCACTGCAGATCCTGGTCTGGGCTGACCTGCTCTAGGGTTGGGAATCATCCTGCTCACAATGGGAATCTTAGGCAACTTCCAGAGCTCACTTTCAGCCAGAGTTTGTGAGTCTGTGTTTGCATGTACAACTAGAGCAGATAGGCAGACAAATTTCAGCCACCAGAACTCCAGAAGATTTCTGGAAGAAAAGATGGAAAGCTGGTAAAAAGTTCACTTACGCAAATACAATGTGAAAATTAAACCGATGAGATTCAGCACTCGGGATGTAAAAATGTTTTATGTTCCAGAGTCCAGTGTGCTGCTTTTGGATATTTGTGATTCCCAGGGACTGACTAGATAAGTGGAACATGGCACTTTGAGTTGAAAGAGAGTGAGGGAATTGTATGTGGGAACGGTGTGTGGCACAGCTACACCCTTTTCAGAGTTCACTTGTGATTTAGGCTGCCTGTGGAGACCTGTTCTCTTGGGCTGCAGGACACATCCCCTAGGAACTCTGGACCTCCATCCCCCTAAAATCTCATGAAAAGGCAAACCCTGTTTCCTGAGGAGAATGCATGGGATAAAGCAGTTAGCGAGTCTGATACATATTTCATAAAACACAGTGTTTTGTGGACTTTCAGAAGGAGGATTGACTGGAAGTCTGTAGGGCAGAAATGGAGATCGAATACCTGCCTTAAAAATTCCCAGAGTATTTAAGGAAAACTAGGAGGCAAAGGAAGGCCTTTCCCAGTGAAAAGTCAGGGAAGATATAGCTGAGACCTCTGTGGAAGACACTTCCGTTGCACAGTTCAAACACATTTTTCCCATAAATTAGGAATATTTGTATCATGCAAGCAAACTTAATTCACCAAAATTACTTTAGCTGCATCAATAGTTCCTTTTCCCAAATAGAAAGCTGACACTCAAAAGACACAAAGTAATGCAATTAATCCAAATTCTCATTATAACAAGTCTTTTGTATTCTGGTGGTTTTCCTTATGTAAATTGTTAGTTATCTATGACCAAACTGGTGTAACAGAACCCATTTCAACAGATAAAACATTTTAACATAATAGATAAAGAAGCTGACCATCTAGCTTATGATTTCTTGGTTTTTAAATATTTCTACAGTATTGGCTATTGGTCTGACATCACACAAAATGAGATTATTGAGTTTCTAGTTAAGAAACTTAAATTACACTGCCAAAATACATATCATTATGAACATGCTAAAGAGGACCAGTGACACTTTCTTTCATAGGCGTGCAGGGAATAAATCTATTTCTTAAGTTTGAGATGAGGCCTAGACTGCTGATCTGTATTTTAGCCCATCAGTAGTTCTGCTACAGTGAAAGCAAATCAGTGTTTGCATTAAGTCTTCTTTACATGGCTGTAAAGATATTTTTAAAAGTGTTCTACATGTAATTACTCATATAAAATTATAGTCCAGGAGCACTCATCACAAAAAAGGTTTGTATTTTCAAGTTGTATGAATAGGAAAAAAAAATTCCTTTCAAAAATGAATAAGCTTTAACAAAAGTGGCCCCTGGTCCCAGATGCACAGTTGTGACTCTTGTAATGAATTTTGACAGAGGCATATGATGTGTCTGAACAGAGGATGAAAAGGCATTATCCTCTTTCCCTACACTCTCCATTGATGAAAATCTGTGCATGTGAGGATTGTAGATTGTTCCAACCATAATGATGTTGCAGAAGTGCCACATTTTTTTATTTCTCTAGGCACTGAGGAAGGACAGAAAGGAATTTTTTTTTTTTTTTAATCCTCGTCAGATGTAGAATCCCCATAACTCCTGTGGGTTTCTGTAGTTTAGGATAAGGAGTAAAGATCAAAGATTAAAAAGAAAGAACTTGGTCTGTGGAAAAAGTAGTAAAGTACCCAGGAAATTGAGGCTGTTTTCTACACAGGTGACTGCTGCATTCGTTTGAATAACATCAAAGATCTCCCTGTAAAACGGGAAGCTGAAAAACCTGCTGGCTTATAAAACAAGAAGTTAAAGAAATAAAAATCCTAAAAGTTAAAAAAATAGTCAGAAAGCAAACTGTACTGTTCATTTTCAGAATCCTTTCTGGAGTATGTCCATGCTTTGTGCTTGCATACACTCATTGCAAATATGTTGGTGCTACATTGAGCACAAATAGCATGAAATTTGACCCTAAGCTATTTGGTTCCTCTGCTACATTGTCATCTTTGTAGGTTTAGGATGGAAATGTAGCCAATTTATGATTCTTGTCTTGTGAGGTACTTCTTACATCACAGTCTTATCGTTTGGTGAGGACTGCTAATGTTTGGGTTGCTGTTTCTCCAAATATTATGCTATGACCTTTTGGCACACAGAAAAGATAGACAAGTAACTTTGCTTCTGTCATGACATGGATGCAGTATGCTTTGTTCATGGAACATTTTGTTTTATTTGAACGTGTCAAGTATGCTGTTTAATATTAAATGACTAATGTGCTTTCTTTCCTTTTTAAAATATTATATATATACATTATTTCTTATGTGTAAAAATTATTTTTCTCTATTTTTAATGGATTAAGTCTTTCTGTACTGGTGTGGAACAAGTTAAATGTCTATTTAATATGCTTCACCAGAATCCATCTGTCTTTCCAAAGGGGCATTCCTTCCTTCTCCTTCTACCCTCATTCCTTACAATTCCTCTGTCTTTTTTACCCTTTTCCTCACAAATTAAATCCTCCCAACAGCCACAACCTCACTTGCTGGTTCTCCAATGTTATACTAATTTTCCTATGACTATTTTTCCCATTTCTTTGTGATATCCTGATTTACTCATCCTTCCTATCCCATTTTTTTACAATCCTAGTCCAATTTGTTAATTTTTTTTTAAGTGATCCCTTTTTGATTTTTGTGAAATTGAGAGCAACCTGAAACTCATTTACCATTGTGATCAACTGGTGTGAAATCAATTATAAAATGAATTCTCTAAAGCTCTTATACTGCTTGAAGGTGAGGTCATCTTTGCAGGTAACTTTGTTGAGGGGTATCAATTAATTTCCATGAGAATTAAAGCATTGGAAGTTTTGGATTTAAAAAGAAAACTCAGTATGAAATCAAAGGACTGCATTTTGGTTAAACAAATAATGAAACATTGCCTGCAGTAGAGAGAATATTTAAATGTTGAAATGCTTAAATAAATAATCTGATTATCACTTCTGATTACTTTATGATACCAAGACAATATGAAATTGTCAAAAGTGTCATAGCACCTCTCCATCAAGCAGTTGGAGTCTTTTGATTCCTGTAACAGGGTTTGAAATGGTCATGTTGTATTTGGAGTGACAGCAGTGCACCCTCAGTGATGTCTGTGGGTTTCTGTGGGTGCCACAGAGAGCAGGATTTGTTCCAAACTCTTACCAGAGTGCAAAGGGTCAGTTAGCAAAGGATGCTCCTGGCCAGGATCACCCTTGATGTGACACCCTGGAAGCTGATGGAATTTGTTCATCCCTGTGAAGTGTTTGTGCCACTCTGCTGATGGATTCTGCTCTCCCAAAGTTACTTCGGACTCGTGGCAAATCCTCTGGGAAGCTCACAGCTTAGTGAGCACGTGCCCTTCAGTGCTATCCCTTATCAAAATAGGAGAACTCTTATTCTGGACTGCAGATTGGGGGGCTTTGCAGATTTGCCTCTGTCTCAGGAAATCAATGATTTCAAGCCCTGTTCTAGGTTTCAAAACATTCATAATACTTATATGAAATACCAACACAAACTAATAGAGACTGACTGCAGTTCTTGCTTGTGATCATATAATTTATTTTTCCACATAATGCACCATCCAAACCAGAACACAGTGGTAAGTGTCCTTTCAGCTCTCCATTGGCTTAAAAAGAAAAAAACGTAAACTTTAAACCCAATCTTTCTTTTTTTTTTTTTTTTTAAAAAAAAAAGAATGAAACATGTTTTATCCAAACCATTGTATCCACAGGGGGAAAAGGGAAAGAAAGGCAAAAAAGGGCCTAAAGGGGAGAAAGGAGAACAGGGTGCTCCTGGATTAGATGCACCTTGCCCATTGGTACGTCTCGCTTGTGTGTTGGGAGATTAGTCATCCTGCTGTAAACTGATGGAATAAGAAGTGAGGGGAGAGGAACAAGCAGCAGCTACTGTGTAACCTGTTGCCCTTTGTTAGCACAGCTTCATCTCAAGTCCAAATTCTGCAGCAGACTTTGTTTATAAACCTCCTAATTTGGTTTAAAGCACCAGACTTAAGACCTTTGGGCTAAGTTTGTGAGGGTTTGATGGTGGGGTTTTTGTTTTGGTTTTGTTTGGTTTGTTTTTTTTCCTGCAAAATACACTGGAAAGGAACCAAATTTGGAATGTGTCAGAATCAGTGCCCCACAGGTTGAAATCATAAGCAGTCAGCTTGTTCCTCTTGCCTCTCTGTTGTTTTTTGTTCACTCCATTTAAGTCAATACTGAAGGCATTTTCTTGACAGTAACATTGCAAGTTAATCTTTACAAACAGGGATTCCGTGGAATTAAGGGGGAAAAAGGGGAGCCAGGCCAGCCTGGCCTGGATGGGCTGGATGCCCCTTGCCAATTGGTACAGTATTTCTCTTTCCTACCAACCCTGCATGCAGTTCCTTTGTTTGTAGTCAGCCATTCTCAATGTAAAGTAATGTTTTTCTGAGCTGACTTTACATTTTTCACGTAACACATGCATGTGCATGAACAAACCAGCTGCTTCAAGTGGTCATAACCGCAATGAGAGAACACACGTTTTCATTGACACACCTTAAGCCTAACTCTCAGCAATTTTCTCCCACATCACCTGGTAATTTGTAATTTTGTGTCCTTCCTACATTTTCCCTGAGAATCATTGGTTTGTTACTTTCCTCGCAAAATACCCACTGCTTTACCCACCCTGAACCCAAGTTCTAGAAATCCAGCACAATGTTCACCTCTAATCAAGTCTGATGACCTCTGTCTGTGCTGCTCAGTTCCACACCCTGGCCTATCCCATAGCTACTCTGCACCCTGGTCTTCCTTCCAAATCCCTGCCACCTTAGGGGCATCTTTTCATAATTTGGCCAAAATGAGAGTCACAAACAGAAGGATGTAAATACTGTTTCTAAAAACCAAGGTTTCCTGTAAGCCAAGCTGGAGCTTGGCTTCCACACCATCCACAAGTAATGTTTGTGGTGTCTGGCCTGTTTATCAGAGTATTCAAACACCTCTGGAAATAAAAAGCTTACCTGATGTTTGTAAGAATATAACAGTCTGCAGCCCAAACCCTCACTGTCTTTGTTATTTAATGTCTTCAATTTAATGGTCTTTCCCTTGGAACTTACCTTCCTGGAGCACACACAACACTCCCCACCCTATGCTAGCATGAATTCAAGTTCCCACCTATACTAAAATGCTACTTCTTGACCCTCTCCCTTGTACCAATCTGGCAACAGTGATTTTTATTCAGTGGTAAAGGAAGTTGGAACTCTTCCATTTAAGAAAGAAAACCCCAAATGAATAGTACATACACATTTCCTAAAGATACAAGGAGAATTTTCTTTTCAGTTGTTCACAGTAAAATTTGATCTGCATGCTCTGCTATTGTTTGGTGGTTAAGCACGGTTCTCTGAGATGAATGTTAAATTAAGTAGGTTTTATTTTGACTATAGCACTTCTAATTTGAAGTCAGTTGCTTTTTAATTGTAAATACATAGTCCATTAAGATTATTCCACAGTCCATGTTGTTTGCTTCCAATTAATGGTAACCATATCTCATATTTTGCTGGGGATAATCAAGCATGCTTTTGTAATTTAAAAATGTTTCTCTGTCTCTGTATTATCATTTATATCTGAAGATTCACTAACAATCATTGATAGGTAAAAAAATACTCTGTTCCTAGATAATTGCTAGAATAAGCAGCAGGTTTAGGCAGCAAGCCATTCACATCAGACCACATGCAAGTATATTCAAAAATCCATATTGATCATTATCCTCACATGTAGGGCAACATTAAGTATTGGTATTCAAAATTCTAAGAAATGTAAAGGCCTGATTTTATTCTGCTTATGCGGAGTCTAGTTACATTGTATGTGCTCCTAATTCTGAGCATATAATTCCATGAATAAACCCTGAAGAGCCGTGTAAATTCGAATTAAATCCATGAAAACCAGTATGACTGTGATCAAAAGCTGGCCCAGATCTTACTGGATGCATGGAGATACAGGAAGGTAGGGTGGCAACAGGAAAGAAAAGGAGTGACTCTCACTAACATGAGAAGAAATTAGATGCCCATATTGTCCAAGTGCTGAAATAGTCAGTGGTGCTGTGCTGTCCTGCTCCCACCACTGATGTTTTCTTCCACTGTGGCACTCAAGGTATGTTCAGGCCTTAAGATTTTGCTGCTCCATTCAAAAACTGATACTGAAAGTGAAAAGAAAAGGTCCTACTCCCATTTGAGTCTTGCTGTCTTATCACAGAGTGACCTTTGTACAAGGGACCCATAAAACATAATATTCTCCAGATAAAAGTGATAGTATTTTTTTTCTCACTGATCTTGTACATTCAGGTACAGATGGTTGTGAATAAAACTGTTTATATTTAAAATAGTATGTAGCCTGAGCTCTAACAGCAATAAGGAACTGATAAAGAAGTTCTAATGGTTTAGAGAAAAACAAATCTTTATAGCAGAGAAATGCATGTATGTATTTACAGTGTAAACCTTCTCGCCTTTGGCTTTTCCTTCACTCTCAGAATAAGAGAGGAAATAAATTAAGTGGTAGCTACATTTTAGATAGAAAGTCAAAGCTCCTTCAGCTTTTCCAACAGATGTTGATGAAATATCTATCCTATCAAACTTACTTATGTGCTTTTTTTTTTTTTTTTTTTCCCCCTTTTACTCCTCTTGAAACAGGGTCCTGATGGATTACCAATGCCTGGCTGTTGGCAAAAGGTAGGATGGGCAGAGCTTTTTCTTTCCAGGAGCAGTATGTCCTTAGCACACAGAAATGCCTGTACTGAGCAGTATCAAGATATGCTTTGAAGCTTCCTAGACAGACATACCCAGCAATGCAAGATCAGACCTCTCCATGACAATAGTTGATGTGATACGTTGTAATTTATGTAGAATATTTCATTCAGACAGTACTGTAGAAATAGTTGGCATTAGTTTCCTGGAAGGTCCAAGACTTTTCTTTTTTTTACATGGAGACTCACACATCCTTTGATTTCTGCAGATGGTCAGTGCTTCCTATTCATTATAAAAGCTCATGGATGTGGCATTTTTGTCGAGTGTTTCGGTCAAGCTATTATTACATTGGTTTTCTGGGATACTGAGAAGGACAGCGTATCCTGACCTTTTATTTGCCTTACTTTTCTATTTTTCCATAAACACCCCTGGGTTTTGGGTTTTGTGACAACATTACTTTACTGGCGACATTATTTTAGTAATGATTTAACCTAGGCAGTGCTTGATTTAGAAACGTAGCATTCAGAATAATACAGTTGGAGGAACACTGGCATATAATACATCAGAAAACATGTAGCATAAGTGAAATCCCAGATACATTTATCTCTGAAGAGTAGTTGGTGCTGAGGAAGTAACTATCTATATTTGCAACTCTGCCTTATCTGTGCATTTGTAATAGATGTCTGAAATAACTTACTAATTTGATTAATCTGTATCTCTTTTTGTCTCTGCAGTGATGAATCTAACCTTACAAGCATGAAGTTGTGTATATAGTGCTCCACTTTTTTTATTTATAGTTGAGAACTGAAAATTTGATTTTACAAGTCTGAGATATGTTTACATGTAGCTGCTTCTACTTGTTTGCAATAGTCCATACATACATCTTTTTTTCACCTACATCTGCAGTTAGATGATACAATGACTGCAGGACAAACCTGCAAAGGTTGTCTCTCTAATGGGAGAGATCTCAAAACAATGATCAATAATAGGAATTAATATTTCTGTAAATTCTTATATTTTGGCTTGTGGATATGCATGGACCATGAGTGCCATGAACTAGTTTACAAGAAATTGTGACCAAATAAGAGGAAAATGCTATAAAATGTACTGTACCAGCTGCTGTTGGAGTTTACTGACTTGGCTTCCATGTCCATCTTAAAACACGTCACTGATTCATGACACCACATCTGCTCATATGAACTAAAAGCATGAGTTTGTGTGCCAGACCTGCTTGCTGTGTGATCATGAGTGGCTGCTCACAGTGACCTTTGATTCCAGCTTCTGAGTCATTTCCTTTTGTCATCTCAAGGGAGTCACACCATGGCTCATTGCTAGAAAGAGATAAACCAGAGGAGCACAGAAAGAGGCCTTGAATTTTTGGGGAATAGCATTCCAGCTGCAGGTGGATGGCTTCCAGTCTTGCGGGATACTTGGCCCCTTTGATCAGAGAGGGTCCCGCCTGTTGATCAGCTTCGGTTTTGCCTTGCGCTGCTCACGGTCGTGAAGACATTCGCGATAGGCCCTGTCGAGTCCTTCATCAAGAGGGACAGAACGTTGAAGAAGAAACCAGACTTCTCTGTGGGTTGTTTGAAAAGGTTACAGAGGTGCTGCAGGGATCATTTGATGGCAGACACCACCTGAGACCAGAAGCTTCTCAACCTCACTTGAGGACGGACAGAGTGTGTATACTCTGCATATTGGATTTTGGAATGCTGGAGGAGAAAGCACTCTTGAGGTGGGGATGAATCAGATCATCCTCCAGAGGAGGATAGCAATGGAACTGACTGTTAGTATCATGGTGTGGTTTTCAGGTTATTCACTTTAAATTACACATGACTAGCTGAACTTCTCTACGGGGTTTTGGAAGCAATGGTTTGCTTTGTTTCCTTTGTTTCCTGTTACTGTTGCCATAAAGAATGCATTTCAATAATCTATTCAACATTTGTGATGACAGCATTGAAGAAAATACACTCAAGCCTCATATTCATCTTGTTTCAGTATTAACAGCTTTTATTTCAGAGTCTTTGAAGTCTTTAAGTCTAGAAAAGAAAGAGTTTATTTTTGTGTTTCACAGAATGATGTATTCATCTTGTTCCTTTTATGTTGTTACGGTGATTTTAGTGGACATTATTGCTCAAAAAACATTGGAGAGAAACAATTCTGTGTGATTATCACTGCACGCTTGTCTCCACGCTCCACTGTTAAATGTGTTGATTTTTCTCCCTTTCTGTTCAGATGGCTTTCTAGAGAAACATTTCCTTCTCCACTTTTTTTTTTCTTATTGCTAGAAATACGTAATTTGTGCACATTTGTAGTTTTGCCACGAGGTATTTTTTTTTAAATTTTGAGTCTTCATATGGTGCACTGAGTTTGAGAGATTAATTTATGAGAAATGGTGCCATATTTGGCAGATGGAAATTTTTTTATATCGCTTCTGTTCCTAATGTATATAGCAGGATCATCCCAAATGGTTTTAGTTATTTTTTCAAAGAGTTGTCTTTCATATGTAGACCAAAAGGAAAGTTGAGGAAGGCAGCTTGTCTCCATTCATATTGAGGGCACCTTATGCCCTTCTTGGAACGCACATTTTTCCTAGCTCCATCGTTTCTAAATCATGTGAAGATGGGGTCACACTTTTTGTATTGCTTCACAATCTCAGATCAGTGGAAATGCCACTATAATGGAAAATTTCTCTTTGATGAAACTTTATTGTCATTTTGGTACATTGGAGTCAAACCCAGCTTTTCATTGAGGGAAACACAGATTTTTAAATCACGAATTAAATTTAGCAGCCTCCAGTTAGTAAAATCCTACTAATAAAAACAAAAACCTGACACTATACACTGAATACATATGTATTTTTACTGCTCAATTCCATCTTTCCAATAGTAAAAAATAAACAAGTGTTCACAGATGTAAGGAAATATGCTTTGCTTTCCCTAAATTTTCAGAGATGCAAATGACAACCTGTTTGAATAGTAATGATTACAACAGTGAAAACCTTCAGGTGGCACAGGCAGAATATAAAATGTTGCCAGAGTGTTACAGCAATAAAAGGTGACTGAGGGCCTTTCAGAAGGAGGACAGGATCAGCACTCTGACTCACCACTTTCAGTCTGCTTGTTTAGGCAGCACTGTCTCAAAAACACAGCAGGCTGATGAGCAAGCTGCCTGCCTGGCAGAAAAGAGTCACTCATGTCAGTGTCCTGACTTGGCACATTTGGCTGGGTATGTGGTAGATGTAGAGAGTAGAAACTGAATGTTTTTTAATATATCTAATACTGGCAATCGATACAGTACAATGAAATAATTTTTAAAAGTTTTTAAATTTCAGAGTATTTACATGTAAAATCAAGTAGGATATTTATTATCTGACTAGATGGCTTATCAGCCCCTTACTGAGACTGTCCACAAATGCAACTCATTTAAGAAACAGCAACAAGATAAACAATGCTGTCATTAGCACTTTCTTTTTCTTTTTTTTAATTTGTGTACTTATATTTTTTAACTGCCCTCCTAGCTTCTATTTCTGTATGTGCCAATAAAGCTAGCAAGCTTTGGTCCATGGTTTTGTCATTCAGGAAATAATTATAGACACTACTATAAGTTAAGTGTCAAAACTCAATTCTCCTCTAACTCCCTGACACTGAGACCCTACGGAAGAAACACTTAAGCACCTTCATTTGCTTTCTTTTCTGTCTTGTAAATTAATTTCTTTATTAAATTCCCAGCAAGTAGGAAAGTAGGAATACCTTTTTCTTTTTTTTTCCCAAATAATCTTACTTGGCTTTTTTAGCTTTTGTATTGTTCAATAGCATGAAATGTTCATTCCTTTTAAATAACCATGAGCAAGCAGTAGACAATTTAATCTGAAAGGTTAAACTACATACATAGATTTGGCATTAATATTTGCATCTCAGATTGAATTGAAATGAAACTTAAAAGTTGCATGGTCAGTACAAGAAAAAAAAAATTTGGTTTAATATTTCATCAAGAAAAGCACCCTGTGAAGACTTGCAACGTGTTTATTTTGTTCAAGAAGCAATTATTTCTGGTGCTAGTATATCTTTTTCCTTTTGATGGCAAAGCTACAGTTTGAACTGCCAGTGTGTTGTTGTATCTTTTAGTGGCATTCCTCCAGATAGATATGATTTGTTTTGTTTAGTTTGTGACAGGAACAGTAGTTCCTCTACCAGTCTTTTCAGTTGTAGAAATGTGTAGTGGTATTAGTCTACACAGTTTCTATATCTCTGACTTTTTCCAGGTATGATTAATCCTTGTTTCTTTGAGAGTTTTCAGTATTTGTTTCATATGAAGTTTTGTAATTATCTGTTACTCCAGTGCATTAAAACCACATTGTGCAGAAGTCCTGCTACAGAGGCTGCAAATCTTTTAAGCACTGTATGGAATATGCCTGACATACGTGGTCCTTGTCTTCATATTCATGGACTAACTGTGGGAAAGCTTTCTTTCAGGATGCTTTGGACAACTTTTTATTTTTTCCTGAGATAAAGCATGAGATATTAAATCACAGAGCAATGATACAATGTATTTTTTGATTTATATTTTTATTTATTGCTGGTCGTGATGCCATATTCTGATAGTGTAGCAAAGCAGAATGATACTCTTCATCCAGCTGTTTATATATTCTTTTAGTCTATGGTGTAAGTAGTATGAATACTGAGTTTCAGAATGATCAGATCCATATATCTGCACATGTGTAAAGTATAGAGTTGTAAAAGGAATAGAAAGGTTGATGTACAGTGTGGAAAGTTAGCACTGGCTCCACTGAGCATCGCAGCCATGGACGGGGTGTGTGTGACCACCAGTTACTCAGTTATGCCACGGGAGAGACAAAGCAGCCCCAGATGAGATCAGCAGAGCTTTGCTGCTCGTGCTTGTAAGGCTGGGGGCTGTGGCAGGACACGTGGCTGGGATCCTGGATCCCCACGGAGATGAGCTGTCCCACTGACCACCCCAGAGCTGGGATTGTAAACCTGGCTCAGCCATGCAGGGCTCCTCCCCTGGCTGTGCCTCCCCATCCCCAGCAAGGACCAGGGGACAGAGATGCATCCTCCCCTTGCAAAGCTCTTTGAGACATGCAGGAGGAGGACACGGGTGTGAGCTTTGTAATGAGGGCAGTATTAACCACCTTCAGCAGTGGGTTTTGCCTGAATCAGGACTACTTCAGTAAGAACTGCAGAGATATTATCAGCCTGTTTATTGAAAGTGATGAAGAGGTTCAAGGCATGCAGAAGTTGGTCCTTCCCTTCAAATTTACTGATCTCTGCTGCTTGGCCATCTTATATTACACTTCTAAATCTCTGTATTTTACCTAATGAGATTCTTAAATTTTCACACTACAGACTCACACAAAACACATCTGCAAAGATAGTGGTCAAAAGAAAGTCTAATTTGTAATCATTGCAAAAATTCTATTTCAGTGACTGGAATTAAAACCAACACTGATTTTTTTTTTTTTTTTTTTTTTTTTTTTTTAAATTTTCTGCAATTTGTTTTTATGGATGTCAATGTTGCTGTAATGTATAAATGAAGGTTTTCATGCACCCTCTGTTATTAAAGTATTTTACGTGGTGGTTGGATTCATTAGTTAGAAACAAGTGCCTGCCACCATCATTTCTGAAAAAGATACTCTACAGAACAAGTGGAGTTTGTTTTTTAAAAGGGATTTGGAGTGTTGTTTTTGTTTCATTTTGTTTTTAAATGCATCCAATTACCAATGCTGCTTGGAAATTGAATTTTCTTTGAAAGCAGGGGGCCTTAACTTAACCTGGGACCGTTAGTGTTTTACTTGTTTCTATTTAAAAAAGAAATTGTATGAATTTCCCAGATCCCATTGGTACTTGCACACTTCTCTGAAGTATTATGGAGAGTTGGGTTGGTGGAAGAATGTTTTACATACTGTTAACGTATATGTGGATATTCTTATATTATTGTACATGTTTGGGAAAATATCACACAACTTTAAAAATGTTGCTAAGATGTATGTATCTGACTTTTTCCTTTGGAAAATATTATATATTTTTATTTGTATTTTTTACTTTTTTAAGTTCATCTATATGTGCCGTTATTTTTGTATTGCAAATGGTCTCATAAATGAAGTAGAAGAGATAAAAATACAAAGAAAAGTAATTTGGCAAGGATTTCAATGCTTGGGGGGAAAAATACATGGGTCAGCATCATATTATCAATACTAGAAATATTTTGAGTGTCTTATCACTGTAAATATGTCACGAGACCTCTTTTGATGAGTAGTGTAAAGAATGTCAAGGTTTTAATCACCCATTTTAATTTGTTATTATTTACCACTTTCTTGTGGCCACTGGTCTTGACTTAATTGAACCCAATCAAACAGCATGCTTTTGTTTTTACTATTAAAATTTCTCCGTGTTTTTCAGTTGAATATTGTTTTGTTTTCTTTCAGTTTTGTACTTCAGGTTTTGTTTCTTGCTTGTGAGAAGTTGATCTTCAGAATTATTTTTACACTATTTATGATTTATTTTCATAATGTAAAAAGTGTGTAATTATTAAAATATTAATCCAACCATTGGTGCTGATTTTGAATAGCTATAAAGTTCTTAATGTTGGTGCAAAAAAACTCTTCTAGTCTGTCTGGATTGGGAAACGTGTATGCTGCTTTGTGCCAGCCTGGAGCTGGAAGTCCAGAGCAAGTTGTTTCAGACATTCACACAAAAATGAGGGCCTCTGCCACGTGTTCCATTTCCCTGCAGTGCGCAGTAAGAAATCTCACCTTCCTATTCTTGATGTGTCTTTCCCCTTCAAAACAGCGTCTCTTCTATTATCTTTTCTAAACAGGCAGCACAAGCTGTGGGAATCCACAAGTTATGTAAGGAGGAAGCTTTGCTGCAAAGCTTGGAGCCTTTCCTCACTCAGGAAAAGTTGCAGGGACCTGTGTATTAACCAAAAGTTGAAACTATTGCTTAGGCAAGTTCAGAGGCACCATGGGAAGAAATAAAGCTGAAAATCACCATTCTCCCTTTTCTGGCGTTCTGAAGGTGAAAAATAAACCTGAACTCCTGAGAAAGAAAGGTGTTTACAGTGCCACAAGTAACAGTGCAGGCTGGAAAATGTGTGTCCCTTTTACACAGATCCAACTTGTTCAGAAATGACAGAACATAATAATTATTTCAAAATGGTATATTTTTCATCACCCTTGTTTAAGAAGGCATTCATTTGCATTAGACTCCCTGAACAAAAGGTTTAAAAAAACACTGGGGAGCAGCTGTAATTTCTTCAACACATTATTTAAATGTTTGGATTTTCTAAATCCCAAAAGATTTTAGACAAACAGAACACTCCACATTGTTTCCCTTCCCATTACCTCAAAAATGCAATCACTTGTAGGTGGAAAGGTTTGGCCTCTCCTATTAACTTTTGCTAATCCCCACAAATGTCCATTAATCTTATCTAGCTCTGTTTTAGACTCTTGGAAGGACTAAAAATATCTTTCCTCCTTTCCAAGAGGAGGTACTTCCAGCTCCATGTGCTGTGCTCTGCCAGGCTGAGCATGTGGCTCGGAGGGCTGCGAGTGCTGCTGTCACCCCAGGTGATGTCCTTGCTTCAGTTGTGGCCACTCTTGCCCTTTTCTCACTTCCTTCTTTCTCTTTTCTTCTGCTTTTGTAGAGAAGTGCAGTTCTAGATGTCCTGCCAAAACACAAAAACATGTGTTCTGAACTGCTGCCAGAGCCAACACCCTGTGGGTTTCCCATTCTGTGCTTTGACAGCATCCCTGTTATTTTTCATTTCTGTGCTCCCTTTAGAGCTTTAGATGCTTTAGAGCCAAACCTCACGTAACCAACCAGGTTACCTGTTACTCAGGTAACAGCCTTCACATCCTACTGTACTCCTGGGACATGGCTTTCCTCTGGGATTGCCTCCTCTTCACACGCGTCCTTAGGAATTCCAAAGCACATGTAGGACTGCATGTGAAATGCCTGCCACTTCTGCCTCTCTTTTCTATAATGGAGCTTTAATTAAATACTGAAAGGCTATTATGAAACTCTGCCTTGTGGACCTACTAAACCTGCTAATCCCTACCCAAATAAAAAATAATGCAACAGAAGCAGCTGTTTATGTCCTTACACAGCTTCACCTTGTGGTTCAATTATAATCACACACAAAAGTTTAAAAAAAAAAACCAAAAAACTCAGGGAGCTGACAAAGCATTTCATGTTCCGGCAAGTAGTAACAACTGCACCCAAATAAATATTAAAACAAAACAAACAAGGGAATGCCAAAACATTTAAGTCATGTTGCTGCAGGCAGTCTTTCTGTCTTCCCAGGGTTACTAATTTGTCTTCTCTACCATTGGCTTCTGGGAATTTCCAGACAGAGTACTCACAGGGTATTCTACTTTCCCATCTTCTAGCGTGTATGTGTGTATATATAGATATATAGATATGTAGATATATAGATACATATATGAGACCAGTAGAGTTCAGAAAATACTGTACACAAACCTCTTCAGAGAGATAACTGTCCATGAGTGTAGGTATGCTCAAGCTGCTTTAGTTATCTCCCAGATCAAAGGTGGACACAGCTCCTGTCACATAACCAGGATGCAGTGTTTTTTTCATGTTCTTAAACCAAGGCAGAATGTTCAATAGCTAATAAATATCCTGATTGTGTTCTTATGTGCAGGTTACAGCTTGACTGAGTTTCCAAAGTGCCCACACCCCAGTGGAGCTGTCACAAGGTATTTCTGACATCACCTTTGGCTGCTCCCTCCTGGAGCTAACAAGTACCTGGTAACTTTCTTCCAGATTTTAGGATCTCTCTTCTATTTGGTATGTTAAAATCGTTGTGAGGTAATTGATTCTAGTTGAGATAAAACTGATAAAAACAAATGTTTACAACACACCCTGTGCTTAACTGGCTTAGGGCCCTGCTGGACTGGTCACTGCATGAACTCACAGGCAAGTCCATTCTCCTTCCAGAGCAAATGCCAAGCAGCTGCCTGTCCCTGAGAAGGTGCAGACAGGTATGGTTTGTCCATCTTTAAATTTCTGTACTGAAACAGATCTTCAGTGCAGAACAGTTTCCACAGCAAATCCATCTGCAATGGGTTTAATTCTCAGGGAGCACCAGCAATATATTGTTTTTCAGAGGAACTCCTCTGCAGTCAAATAGGTAACCAGAGGCACCTTACTTGAACACTGGGTAACTGTTAGAAATATTTACTCCGGACAAAGCCCATAAACAAGCATAGAAAAAAGAAAGTAAATTAAAATGTTAATAAAGCAAACAGAACAGGATGGAGTAAACAGCATATTTTGGTTTGCATTTTTGTTTTTTTTCCTAAAACACAAGTATTTTGGAAAAAAAAAATAAGAAACTATTTTAATCCTAGTATGTATCACGGAGAGATGGCTGCCAGTATTTAGTGCATAGCATTATGATAGCAAGTGGTGCTGCAAAGGCCTATGTCTAGGTCAGGGTCTCTGCTAGTCTTGGGAGAGACTCCACACATGACACTTGACAGGCTTGCTCCTGCTCATAGTATCAAGAGAGCATGAAAGAACAATGAGCCAAGAGGGAGGGATATTTCCTTGATTGTTAAGCCCCTTCCCATGGCTTTGAAGGAACAGAGAAGCAACATCTCCCTTCTACTTCACCTGTCACTTCAGGCTTGCCCAATGAAGTTTGCTATTGCTTCAAACAGTTCCTAAGCTAGCTGTGAGCAAACTTGCTTTTGCTAAACCTGAAACAAAAGCCCTGATTTGGTCAGGCTGTCAGTGCATGCTTCTAAAGTAGTAGCACAGTATTTTGCATATCCCTTAAATCTGTTTGTGGTCCAGGGTTTCTGCATGAGCAGGACCAGGCAGATCAGCATAAAGAGCTGAGATTTTCTAGTGTTGGCATCGGCAGCAGCCCTGGAGGGAGGGACAAGGCTGTGCTCGGCACCGACAGAGGGCAGACACCAGCTCGGTGTGAGAAAACCATCTCTCCTGAAATGCCTTGGGACTCACAGACGGGGATGCTGCCTGGCCCCAGCCTTTCTGTACATTGCTGGTACAAAGGGATTGCTGCTAAATCACTATGTAAGGTGTAGTACAACCTCAACTGCATCTACCCTATGCTAAATACCATTGCCTGGTTTTCAGAGATGCAGGCAAAATGGAGAGGCATTGCAGAGAGCGTTCCTGACAGGCTCTAGCCTTGCTCTGTTTGGATGTCAGCAGATCTAATGCCTGTTCTCTTCTTGAGGACCCATCAATGAATTTCATCCTTGCCTGTACAGTAAAATACTGCCCTAGCTGACAGTTTTGGCAACTCTTTCATGTCTTTTTTAGTCTTTCTGCCTGGACAAGGCACTGAAGACAGGCAGCAGCTGTCTCTGCAGGGATAGAGGTGGAGCTGCTGTGACTTCTGCTACTCTGTTGCTTGGTGAGGCAAGGTTTCCCATGGAGCAGGACTGTAGAATGTCGAAGCTTCAAATTTAACACTGAGGAAACTCTAGTAAATGACTGGATGGGAAGAAGTGTTGTCTAGAGAAGCAGAAAGGTGGCTTGCTGGCAGAGATATTAAAAAAAAAAAAATAAAAAAATCAGGAAGTGTGTTTCTTCAATCTGCAGAATTTGGGATGACTTTCTGGATACTGATCAAGAAAAAGGAAGTACCATCAGCACAGGAAATTGTGTGGCTTTACATATGCTCTCTGAGAACTCTTCCAAACGTAGTGCTGCAGGTGGCACAGGCGAGCTACAGATGGGGTGGCAGGGCCGTGGGCGAGTGCTCTGCTGTCTGCTCATGCAGCTCAAGGAGCTGCCTCCAGGGGAGCGCTTGCCAGAGAGAAGGTAAATCTGAGGTGCTCCCCCGGCAGCTTCGCTGTTTTGAAATGCGATGCCTCTCGATGTGAATTCTGTCCTTCTTCCCCCGTTTTATTCTCCCCTCTTTTTTCTTGTGGGCTTTGATGTCCAGCGAGATGGTTACCGAATGTAAGCATGAAGAAATGCCACGTTCGAGCAAGTCGCTTCTACATGCGCTTTCAAAGTGACCAAGGAGTAGGTTTGTTTAGATGTTGCCTAGACCTAGGATTGAGCCCATGTGTTTGAGCTCTGTTCTACGTACGTGCACAAAACCTGGCAAATCGTAGATCTTACTGATTTGCCTCACTTTACAAGAAATGCGGAAATACCGATACCGGCTGCCATGGACATATACAAGTCTCAGCCTACTCTTACAAGCAGATTTTGGGGCATGAGAGGCAGAGCGGGACATCGAATTATGACCCTGATTTTGATTCAATAATCGGCTTTGTGTTCCTCCCCCCAGGCCCCCAGCCCGAATGTTTGTGGCAGTGGCGCTGTGGCCGCCAGGGTGACAGACGAGTGGCAGGAATGGCAGGATGGCCAGTGGGAGCCGAGCGCTCGCCCCCACGCCCCAAGTCGGTTCTTTTGCGAGTTTGTGCCGGTCTGCACCCCAAGGGGGAAAAAAAATCCCAAATTAATTTTAAACCAACAATACTCTAAGGCACAGGACTCACTCGCGGCTGGCCCGCCTCAGCTGAACAGGAAACACGAGTCCCCCGAAAGGAACACCCAGGGGGATGGGGGAGCGGTCGGGACGGGACGTCCCGTCCTGTCCCGTCCTGTCCCGTCCTGTCCCGTCTGTCCCGTCCTGTCCCGTCCCGCCGGGGCAGGCGGGAGGGAGGGAGGCGGGGAGGAGGGGTTTGGCCGGGGCCGGCGCCCGCATAAGAGGCGGGGAAGCCTTGGGTGGCTCGGACGGACGGTGTTCCCCAGTGCCCTGCCGTGCCGTGCCTGCGCCGGGATGGAGGAGCTCTACAGCAAGGCGGAGACCCTCGCCCTTCGGAGGAAGCACATCGGGTAGGGGCGGCGGAGGGGCCGGGAGCGGGGCGGAGGGGACGAGGAGGAGGAGGAGGAAGGTCTGTCTCTGGGGACAGAGCCCCTCCGGACCCGCGAGCTGGCGGGGGACACGGACACGCACAGGACCTGTCATCCCCCTGGTTTCCAGGTGTCGGGACAGCCCGGAATTCCCTGGGCGGGCGGGGGATGCCGTCATTCAAACACTGCACATGGAGCGCATCGTTCGCTTCTCCAGCAGCTCAAAGCAAGCGGCCGGGATGTGGTACCCAGGCGTGTGTCTAAAATGAGGCTGCGCAGGGATGGGGCTTTTTTGTGCGTGCACCTGCAGAACAGCCGTGTCTGCTGAATGAACCTGCTGCTATTTCCTGAGCTGAGTTTAACTGGGGGACGTGCGGGAGGGCTGCCAGTGGCTGTGTCCTGAGCGACAATCCTGGCTGCGCACGTATCTGATCCCTCTGTAGGGCAATGTTAGTTGCCACGGGATGTGCAGCTTTCATCATTTCTTCGGTAGATGTTGTCAAGCGAAAAATAAGTCCAGGCTGTAAAAACAGATCTATTTTGCTGATTGCATCTTAAACGTGTAGCATATAGAGGAATCTTACTAAAGATCCATAAGTCACAAAAGATTCCCTAAGGTCATGGCCCCATAAAGAGAGAAAATCAACCGCTTTTTAGGGGCCAGCTCAATATTAAAAGAGTCCTGCTCTGCACAAGGATTGCAGGATTGAGCAGTGCTGGGTGAACAAAGAGAAACTTCCACAGAATGAACTGACAGGTTACAGGGAAAAAAACTGTAGACAAGAAATGGCCAATTATGATGGACATTGCTTTAAAAGTATAGCAGAGAAATAGCTGAAGATGTCAGAAAAGATCTATGCATCAGGGCTAGAAGCTATGAGAAAGAAAGCAAACTACTTCACTATCCAGGAGTCACATTTACAAGTGACTTTACAAGTTCATAACCACACTATACCCAACAATAGCTCTCAGACTTACCTGGAAACAACTGTGTTTATCCAAGGTCATATAAACACTGATAAATGTTCAGAAGACTTTCCTTCTGCTCAGTAATATCATTCAACGTAATTACACAGCTGGGACATTCTCCAAGGGGGGAGAAGGAAAAAAAAAAGAGCCCTTAAAGAATACTTTGGTTAATATTATAAGGAGCTTGAGTTTTGCTGTAAGTCAGTGAGATTTAGATGCTTATAAAATGCTGCTCTTAAAGATTTTGTTCAAAGCACACAGAGTGAGAGTATGAGGGTTTTAGGACCTGCTCAGCACCTCTGAAAATAAAGCCTGCAAGGCATTAATGTTTTGTTCTCAACTCTGACCTCTATATGCTACAGTCATCTGTTGCATAATGATTATTTTGGCTATAGTATGAAACAGTGCTTAACAGCTTACTTTAGTTCCAGAGAGTTATTTGGCCATAGATGTCTGTGAGGCATGTAAACAAGCAGAGCTACAGCCTAGGAACACGGCAGGACATATAAGGACCTGGAAAGACGTGCAGACACTGTTCTGCTGTGAAATCAATTGCAGGCAGGGTCAGGCTTTGAAAACACCCAGCTTCTGTTCCCACTGTGCCGGGGGAGGTGCAAGGGTTTTCACTGTGAGCAAGAGCCCCTGCCTGACCACCACCTAAATGACTCACAAGCTTTTTTTGCAGAAGGAGGTAATTGTCTCCAGAGCTCCAAAAAATTAACCATCTCAACACTCAAGGGAGGGAGAAAAAAAAAAGAGAAAATTAAAATGGTGTTATGTTTATTATGTCTTAGGCCTTCCTGCAAAGTTTTCTATGCCAAAGATCCTCTGAAGATCGTCCGTGCTCAGGGCCAATATATGTTTGATGAGAAAGGAGAAAGATACTTGGACTGCATCAACAATGTTGCACATGGTAAGGAGTTTGACTTGTGAGACTGCTGCCATTCCTTAATTTCCAGTAGGGATCAGGGCACATTTCTGCCAAGTGATGATGCTCACAGTGCTTCTGTGAACATCCTTCTGTGGTTCAGTAATTGACTGCTTGCTAGTAATAACTAATTGCTTTCTTCTTTAGTGGGCCACAGCCACCCATATGTGATAAAGGCTGCGACAAAACAGATGGAACTGCTCAATACAAACTCCCGCTTCCTGCATGACAACCTTGTTCAGTATGCACAGCGTCTCACAGCCACCCTGCCTGACAAACTCTCTGTTTGCTATTTTGTTAACTCTGGGTAGGTCTGAATTGTATTTTTTTTTTATATGAATATTTTTTATTACTATTTTGCTCCTGTTTGAGACAGAGACTCAGGACAGCTTGGTCTAAATCTTACTAAGTAGGACTTAGTAACATGCAACAAAAATATATCCAGCACTGATCAGAACTTACTTCCTATTTGCAGCCATCATATTTAGAGTGATGGCTCAAAGCAAGAGAAGCAAAACATGACACTGGCCTGCTGAATGCTATGCAAAAAAAAAAGAGGGGGAAAGAAGAGGAAATTAATTCTGCAAACTGGTGAATGTTATTTACAGACTGATGAATGCCACCTGTAAATTGACATATAACCTTGGAATCAAGTTAGTCTTCTTTAGGCAGTTTAGTAGTGTGTGATCTCTTACATGTTGAAAACAGACAACCTGCAGGGATCTGTGAGCAGAGGGGCTGTGACAGATCAGGCTTTCTCCTTTCCTGGAGAAAGGACTTGCAAAGTGTGGGAGATGGGGCTTTGCTTTTTGAGGGTTAGTGGATGCATTGTGTTCTCAGCTGCAAACTGGCCTCTTTTGTACCAATGGGAGGTAAATATCTACAGGCAAACTGGGGGAGGGAAATAAAGCATCTCTTTGTTTGTTGTTTATACAAAGGGCTGTTTTATCTTTGCCCCCTTACATGGCACATATAGTCTCAACCTTAGCACTGCAATCTGTAGAGTAACAGAGTTTGCTGTGTTGATTTATTATATCCATGAGTCCCATGCCTTGTCTTCTGTCGGAATACCCTTTTAATTGGAAGCTCTCCTTCACTGGTTTGCTGCTCTGTTATTATGCAGGTCTGAAGCAAACGATCTTGCTTTACGACTGGCTCGGCAGTACCGCGGGCACCAAGATGTGATCACCCTGGAAAAGTAAGTGCACACAGTAGCTTATGTGAATGCAGCCAGCAGCTCCTGCCATTACTTCAGAAGCAGCTTTGCAGCAACCCCCTGCTGTTTGTACTCCACTGCCTGCTGAAAGAAAAGCTTTGTTGCTTTAGTATTAGAACAGATCAGGAAATCCCTTTTTCACATTTGGGTAAACACAAGTTTTGAAGATCTCTGAAAAATAAGCTTGTTGGTCACCCCAGAAGGTCGGTCACCTGTTAGAGGGCATTTCCCACAGACTCCCAGAGCAATTCAGGCCAGACTTAAATGTTGCTTTCAAAAGCAGTGAGTGGTCTGGCTACTGGGCTGCTCTGGAAAAGGGCTTTCTGTTCGTCACACATTGCTGGACATGTTTCATTTTGCACAAATAAATATTCAGCGGTCAAGAAGAAGGATCCTGTAGTTTCGCAGCAGTGCTGCAATGATGCTCATCTCTCCTTCAGTGGACACAACTATGCACACAAAACCAAGTGGCTGCAAAATGAGGAGGTGTTGAGAGGGCTGCCAGCCACAGGGTAGGTGGCTAACTGCATTTCAGGGTTTTCCTATCCTAGATGCAGCTGTAGGTTTGGTGACATTGCTGTAGTGCTGAATTTTCTTCTCAGGTTGTGATTAGAAAGTCCAGTCAGAGCAAAAGCAAAGGCACATGTTTCTGTCTGAACAGCACAAAGCTTGTTTGACTCAGCCATATCCAGATCCTTGTTAGGAACACACTAAACTGTTCTACTAAGAAGTTGTGACACGTCTTTGGTTTGGTTTGAGGTTTGCTTTGCTTCAGGTTTATGGCTGAGCAAAAGTTTTTATTATTCCCTGAATAAAGATGCTACATGCTTTAGTCTCTAAAGGCTCTGGTTCCTCACTTCTAAATCAGTTGGCCTCAATAGTAACCAGTTCTAGCACACTCTGCAGTATAAAACATTTATATTCAAACAATATCCTTTTCCTGACTGTGGCTTCTGCCAAACCCTCTCACCTGCGGTGCCTTCAGGGCAGATGGTGGTGGGCTGCTGCTGCTGAAGGTCCTCACTTCTCAGTGCAATGCACGCTCCTGAGTTTTCAAAATGGTGTTGGGACCTAGCTTGCAAAGCTTGGGCTGGCCAGAGTGGGGCCCATGGGGTGGAAATGAAGGAGCTGGACACACCCTTCAGGGCTGCTAGGGCAGCCACCTTGATGTCAGTGCAGTCCAGACATCATCTCGGTCTGTCTCCATGTCCGCATTTGATTTTATCCTGCTTCCAGTCTCGCTAGTAAGTTACAGTCAACAGCAATTTCATATTGTCTTTGAGAGAAAGACTGAGTAAATCAAATCAAATCAAGATCCCTTCACAAACGATGCTACAGTGTTGCAGATACAGGTGCTATTCTGTCTGATAGGCGCAATTGTAAATTTGGCTCTTCTATACATTTGGTGAAAAGTGACTTGGATATTTAACACTCACACAGTGCTTACCATGGCCACGTTACATCTCTGATTGACATCAGCCCCTATAAATTTAATCAGCTGGGAAAGGACAGCAAGAAGGAGTATGTGCATGTGGTAAGTATGGTTTTTGGTTTGTTTTGTGGTGTTTTTGGTGGGGTTTTTTTGGTTTGTTTGTTGGGGTTTGGTTTGGTTTGGGGGTTTTTTTGGATCATTTTTATGCCTGTTATGCAGCATATTGAATTACCCACTTCTGGTGTAAATATACTTTCATTCTGTTTTGCTGATGCTAGTGCACATATGCTTGGCTGATTTCAGTGGAATAAATACAGCAAAATTGTTTGCTTTTGGGTTTCTAAGAAGGTGTTCAGCTGTGGGGCTGATTTCCTTCATTGTGCTACAGTCACTGCATTGTACAGTTACACAGTTCAATGCAATTAGCCAATATCCATTGTGTTGGTTTGGTTAAAGATAAGCAGGACTTTGAGTCAAGTTCCAAAAACTGGAAAAGCAGATTTCACAGGTTTACACAGATTTGGGTATAAGACTCATGAGTGTCTAAGGAAGTGTGATTTTTCAGATAGACTTGTGTATCTTAAAAAGACAAAAATGTTTCTCAGTCCAAAAATGTGCACCAAGCAGATCTTTCCTATCTAGAACTCTGTGCATTAACTGCACTGCCAAAGCAGCATCCACCTTTTTATACCACTTCCTTTCTCTTAGTTGCTGAACCTTTCCTAGCACCTTTTGTAGAGGCTTGAATGCAACACAGATTTGTACCATGACTAAAATGCTGGAGGAAAGTGACAGACTGGAAAACCCTACTCTCCAGTTGCAGAAATGGATCTTCCGTGAGAATCTGAAATAAGGTGGTGAATTGTACTCATTATTGTATCGTGAGGGAGAGGAAGGACAGTCTTGAAAGGTGGATGAGGTAGATGATGGTTCTTACAATGGCTGTGTTCTGTAATATTGAACACATGGCAGGCCCAGATTGAATTTAAGCTCCAGTAATCATTTTTGCAATTCAAACGTTCAGGCTGTACTAATTCTTATTACCTATTTATGTGGAAAGCAAATAAAGTGGAGCAATAAAAAAGAAAGTAAATGTTTCATGGAAGGATTGCCTTCATATAAACAAATAAACAAACTGGTCTTTTCAGGCTCCTTCTCCAGATATCTACAGGGGGAAATACAGGGAAGATCACCCAGATCCAGCAAGTGCTTATGCTGAAGAGGTGAAGAAGATTATTGAGGAAGCACAGAAGAATGGACGCAAGGTGTGTGTTTTGTGCTCTAGAAATGCTGAGGCTTCGTCTGTTTATTATGGCATGGGGGCATGTAACGGGCAACTGAGGACTTGTTTCTTTCCCAATTTCACATACTTCCCTTTCCCTTCATTTTCCTATGGTGGGTTCTGTTCAAAATGGGCCATTTTTCTATCTGATGCTCTTATGATAATTTTTCTAGGCATCAATGAAAGGATCAATAATACAGTTGTATATAAGCAGATACAATCAAAGCTGTTAAAATTCCTATTTTATGCATTGAATCTGAAGATTGTTAATATTGTAGGGAAAGGTTTGAGGTCAGCTGAGAAACTACATCACAAATCCTAGCAAGGATATACAAAAAACCCCCAGGTCATGGAGAAAATCTATTCAATAAAATCTTGGTACTACATTTCTGAGCCTGTTTGGTTAAGATAACTTTGAAGTCATATAAAAAGGTGAAACTTTCACTCATACACAGTATGACCTTGATAAAAACAGACAATTTCTAAACAGGTGTACCTAAAATGTTTGTTAATCTTTTATATGATGGCATTAGTGTGTTGAGACTTGTAGGGCTTGATCCAAAACCCGCTGAAGTCCCAGAAGACTTCAGCGGAGACTGGAACATGTTCCCTTCTAGTCCAAAGGACTTACATCACCCCTCTTTTAGTTTCTTCATCAACTTTTTTTTTATTCTCTACTAACGGATAGTTTTGTTTTTTCTTCCCCTGTTTCCTTTCTTTTGCACATTTCTTAGGTCTTGGTGACATAGACCTGTGGCAGGACAAGTTGTGCTAAAGGCTAAGCCTCACATGCTATGGGAAGCTTCGTGCTCTTTGGCCGTGTACTCAAATGTAGTGTATGGTTCTTTACACGTTACTGCTCGGCCTTGTTTCCAGGAAGACTGCACCAGCACAGAGACCCCTTGATGCTCAGGCAGGGGCTCACAAGTGGTGTGGGGATGCAATCCCTTAAATAGCAGACTTATGCTGAGACCTTGGGGTAATATTGTATCTCTGCTGCATAGACCTCTGCTGTTGACAAGAAACAAATTTTGATGTTCCAGTGTGTCTGATCTGCTGCTCTCACCCTTCCTGACTTGAAATAACTTTCTTTTTCATTCCTAGCAACTGGAATTATTTCATCTGTAGAATTTTTCCCTTCTTTTATCAAGTGCTTCATGCTGACATGTTATTTGTGTAGTTATTTGCATTAGGCAGGGGTGCCCAAAGGCTAGCCACAGGTCATCTTACAGGTCAACTTCCACCCACCTCTACCTGGTGTTCAGGATTAAACAAAAAACCCACATACACCTGCAAGCCTTAATACCTTCTTAGGGAAGATGGTGTACACTGTTGTGTGTCTCCTGGCACTGTTGTGTGTCTCCTGTAAACTGGCATTTCTAAATAAATTTATGTAGCTCCCAAGAGCCTAATCCAACATCCACGGACACCTGGAAGTGTCATCCAGTTCAACACAAGGGCTTAATGGAGATCCTTCCTTTCCCATCAGGCTGCAAAGGTGTCCCTGGCTACTGCAAATTTGGGCACTCCAATTACAAAATAAGTAAGTCCTTTAGCCATAGCTGTTTTCAAGAGCTCTCAGTTGTCCAGCCCATTGCGTGATAAAATTAAGGCCCACATTTAGACATTTATTTCTAGACTGTTAGATGTCTCTGCCAAGGCCAAGTAGATGAACACAGCTCTCACATGAGTTTGTCTCTTGTAGATTGCTGCCTTCATAGCTGAATCCATGCAGAGCTGTGGAGGCCAAGTAATTCCACCTGTGGGCTATTTCCAGAAAGTGGCAGAGTACGTATAGCACTTCACAATGGGGAAATTAAACAAAGAAATAGCTTTTTTCACTATAGACTTATCTAATCAATTCAGCTATTAACCTCTCCTGTTCTTGGCTATCTGTGGTTCATTTCTACTTATTGAAGTGTATGATTTCAGTTCAATTTTTTTGTGGAATGTCAGCTAATTTTTTGGCTAGATACTTGCCATTCTTTCCCTATCTTTAATCCTCAGCCATAAGTATGATGGAAGATGAAGTTAAACCAGTTATAATCCTACAGTACCATTACTATTTGACATTAAAATGTCAAAATCTTTTTCTTAACATGTAGCATACTAAAAATTTCATAGCTATAAAATAGCAATAACTGTATTCTTTCCTTTTTTCCTAACTTGGTCTCACACTGCAGAATTTCTGTGATGCAGACTGCCTTGTCCTTGATTGCCTACCCGTGTTCTGCAGCACTAGACTTTCAAGGTATTGTGTTTGTTTTCAGGTATGTGCGTGCAGCGGGTGGAGTGTTCATAGCTGATGAGGTCCAGGTTGGCTTTGGCAGAGTTGGGAAGCATTTTTGGGCATTCCAGCTGCAAGGTGAAGACTTTGTGCCTGACATTGTCACCATGGGAAAGCCCATTGGCAATGGACACCCTATGTCTTGTGTGGTCACAACAAGGGAAATTGCTGAAGGTTTTGGTGCTTCTGGACTGGAGTATTTCAATACAGTAAGTTCATAGGTTAAACTCTGGGCTTTTTTTTTTAAGAATTTTGATCTGCATTTAGCAGTTAGAAATTTTCCAGGTGGTCCAGATAACATCTGCAGCTATCACTGCATCACATTACTAAGAGCTTGAGTCAACCACAGTCTAGTATCTAAAAGCAAGTGGAGAGTCTTTAAAATATGCTCTGTACCAAGTGTTACATCATCATATGGACCAGCACAAGCTCTCTGGCAGGTCATGCATCTCAGCTGACATCCATACAGATAAATTCTTCCTTATGTCTCTTTCCCTCTCCCCACCCTGAAATGTTGATCATGTAAAATTTCATTTTCTAGGATAGGCTCTGTGCTGGTGGAACTCTGCTGGCAGATCTTGCTCTGCAACTGACACCTAACAAAAGTGACCTTTTACCAGGAAACATTTCACCTGCATGCATGCCACAGAGGCTCAGTCTTCCATTTACTGAGCCCTCCTTTCTGCTCCTGTGACTCAGCCTTCTTCCCAGCTACCATGAATTCCCCTATTTTAAATGGAGTTTATACTCTCTGGATCAAAATATATCAAATCTATCACCCACTGCTCTTCCCAGGAGCATTTTGCCTGCACCTGCAATCAGCTGAATTCTTCAGTCTGGAAATCTTTAAATTACTGCAACCTGAAGCAGAGGAAGAGGGAGCCCTTCCCTTGCCCAAATGTAAGGGATGGTGTTCCACAGCCTGAATGACACAAATCCCCACCTTTTCAAGCTTTCCTCATGACACACCAAGCAGGAGGGGGAAAGTGAAAACAACATGGATAGCTACAGATTAATGTTTTGTTTTGATAGGTTTTGATTTTGATGACATGCGTTCTTTGATCTTTGCTTTCAGTTTGGAGGCAACCCAGTGTCTTGTGCCATTGGCTTGGCTGTGCTGGATGTAATAGAGAAAGAAGATCTCCAAGGCAATGCCACACGTGTAGGAAATTATCTCCTGGAGTTGCTGGCTGAGCAAAAGGAGAAACATCCCTTAGTGGGAGATATCAGGTGGGTGCATTGCAGCAATGTCAGAGAAGAAAGTAACTGCGCTAGAAAAAGCAACAAACTTGGTGTGAGTGGAACACAGAAACGTGTCATGATTTTGTTACACCTCTCCTTTAAATTGGACTACACAAAACTGGTATTGTAAGGCAATATTTTTTTAAAAAAAGTTTTCCATCCATCTGCTTAATTAGTTACAAGCATAGCCAGTAGAAAAGTTCTGGGAAAGTAGGAGAAAGAGCCGTCCACATGCGATAACCAAGTTGTCAGTGCACTGTTTTAATCATGCAGACATTGTTCAAATCTCTGGTGCATTTCCTTGGGAGATGTTACTCTGGATTTTCCTCATCTCATGTTACTTCCATTGATAATTGCCTTCAGGTTTTTTTGGGGGGAAGGAGTTGGGTTGCAGGGTTTTTATACTTCCTTTTTTTCATTTTTTTCTCTCCCTGGCTTGCGATTTTCCGTATAAACATGAAAGAAAATTATTCTGTCATTCTTATCTGGCCATGTAACTTTAAGGAGCCAGGTAAATTTATTTATCCAGAAATATCTGTTATCCCATTTGATTGTGTGTAGTTGCCAAAAGGTGACCAAAGACAAAGTCTCCCCTCTCATGCTGCTTCCCCCATTTGCACTCCAGGGAAGGGAATTACAATTGTTAGAAACAGATATTGCATTTGCAGCCGAAGGTTTGGGTTACTGACGCTGGATTTCACTTGTCTGTACTTTTCTTTTCTACTCCAGGGGTGTTGGATTGTTTGTTGGAGTGGATCTGGTGAAAGATAAGCAAAAGCGAACACCAGCCACGACAGAAGCCCTTCATCTTATTTACAAGTAAGTAGTTCTTAAAGATTCTGCGCAGTGATCAAACCCTCCTAATATTTTTCAGCATTAATTTTATCTTCAATTTGTGTAGTTCTTGATGACACAGTACTGAAAAAGGAAAATTTTCAAATCTGTCTCAGCTTGAAGGAAGTGACAGGGCACAACACAGTTTTATACCTGTGTCTAACACAGGTGTTTCCTCTTCCCACAGACTCAAAGAGCGTCAAATCCTTCTTAGCGCCGATGGACCCTACAGAAATATTTTAAAATTTAAACCGCCAATGTGCTTCACAATGGAAGATGCAAAACACACAGTGGAGATACTTGATGCACTTCTTACAGGTATGTGTGCTTTAGGGATCAAAGCAATACTCTTCGTTCATTTCCCAATGAAACACCATTGTTAGCTAGGCCATTACTTGCAAGGGAAAGTCATCAACTGCATTTCTTGCCATTCATCAAACTGCTGTTCTTAATGCCAATTATTATAAAAAAATACAAAGCCCCATATGTACTTTATCCAAACTTTTAGGCAAAATCCTGCTCTCAGGCCTTTCTCTTACAGACTCAATGTTATTACTCATTTCTGGTCACATATGCTGTTTGTTAAGGAGTGAATATATTAATTCAGCACAGGCCTGAAAGACGCTGCAGATACACTGGTGTAACTTTCCATAATGTGCTCTACCTTTTCCTTCTTTCTTTTTGTTTGTTTTTTAACTAGTGTACTGGAATGTGATTGTCTCACTCAAATTTAGCCTGAAGGTTTTCAGGCTCTAATTTTTTTTTTTTTTTTTCTTGAGAACCAACCCAGGGGAAAATAACATCAGTTATAATGTTAGCAAGAGGGCTCTTGGAACCTGTTATACATTAAATGCTCCCATCTGCTGAGAATATAACAACTAAAGTCAGACTTCCATGAACCTACAAAGGCAGAATTCTACTCTGAAAGGTCTCTCTGATACCCTGTGCTTCAGTCAAGTTGCTAATTTTATTCTTTTCTCTAAATACCCTCAAGCTAGACAGTCCTGATAGATTAATCACGTTGCCTCAAAAAATGTTTTAGGAAGTGTTCATCACTCTTCAGTTATTCTTCTGTGATAAATGCCCAGAGGAATAGCTGGTTTTTTTTTTTACTTCTGCCAGCTACTAAATTGATGGTATGCTTACTTACCCCCTGTCATTTTCATTTAATTATTTTATTGCTTTCTTTTTCAGAATTGGAAGAAGCCACTGGAATGAAGGCAGAAAATAATGTATCTACAAATGTACAGTGTAAAAGAAAAGTATGTTTTAATTTTTTTAAAACTCTTTTTCAGATAGGTATTTGGCAAAGCAAGTATAAATTTCTTTGGTAGAGCTTGCCTTCATTTTTGGTCGTGTGAGTGGCTCTGTGCCTTGAAACTGAGCTCAGAGAGTAACTTGCTACTAGAAACCTGAGAGGATTTACCCTGTCTCACTGGGGTAAATCTAAAAAGAGCTGAGTAATCCAGACCAACATGTTACAGACAGGCCCCTTGCCTTATCTGCTTGTGTGCAAACAAGATCAACCAGACTTTGGGCTGCACAAAGCCATGAGCACAGCAGTCAGCAGCTATTGGTCCTTGGTATTACATGCTACTGAAAGATATTTGGCTTTCTAAGCAAGCCTGCAGCCTGGAAGATGTCCAAGTTTTCAGAGAGTTCCAAGGATTTTGTTTCCACCATAGCTCTTTGAGTATGAATGGCTGATACACATCCAAATTAGGACTTCTTTGGTTGCAGACCCAGCTTGGATGAAGCACATACGATTTCTCACACCCTTAAAAACATGTCACCCTCTCTACAGGAAAGCTTGCTGAACTGTTCCTTGGTGGGTTTTCCAAAGAAAAATGGGGGTGGGAAACAATAGCTGAGCTGCCTAGGGATGTAGAAGTTAAACAGAGGCCTGATGAGTAATTGGCTATATATCTTGATTTTACAAGGTTCAGAGTGCAAACCTACTCTTACAGACATTTTAACACAATCAGTTCAATTTCTTTCAGAACTAAGTTGTGGCAATAATAGAGAGGCAGGCAGAGCTACCTAATGGGAACCAGGTCCAGTGGCTGCCTGGTGGAAGAGACACACACGACTCCACTGACATCTCCCTTTTGTTTCAGACAACTGAAGAGAGTTCTCAGCCAGAAGGTGCAAGTGAAAGCAATGGCCATGTGAATGGAGCTGCCTGCCGACAAGAAAATGGGATTTATTCGAAAAAACGCTCAGTGCCAAGTAAAAGAATAAGAACATGAAGAGGGACAGTTTCTTCATTTGGTTTGAATTTGTGTCCATCTTTCTTATGAGATGAAGAGTGCAATAGTCTGAGTCCTAGGATGTTTGAAGCCTAGTCATGCCTTTCATAAACTGGCAGAATTCCTATTAGCTTCAGTAGGTTTAAAATACCTTTTCAGATACATGAGAACCGTGCCATGTGGCTTGAAATCTAGATGTGATGGAATGGACAAGCGATACAAAAATACCTTGGTGCCAATGGCAGGTGTGACGTAGGTACACAAACTTGGTGAAAACTGCAGATTTATTCATATTGTGCAGAATCTGATTTGCTTAGCTGCCATAAAGCAAATGCCAATCCTATTAAGTTTAAAAATATAAGCTTAACATGCTATTTTTACAATATTTTAAATTTCAATATGTAATATTGAGATGTTAATTACTTCCCATGTTTTAATGGCTGAATTCACTAAACAATGCTTGAAAAAAAAATCATTATCATCTTCTAGTGTAACTTAGGTCCTATGGACCATATTCCCAGCTGATGTAAATTGAAATAGCTTTGCTAATGTCAGCAATGCTCTGCTAAGAGTCTACATCTCTATGTGTTGAGACACGATGTCTATGCAGGGCACTCACTATAAATTCAAGGAAAATAAAGAATCTAATTTTCTATGAATAAAGCAACTTTTATAAATATTTATATAGAGTAAGATTTTAAATTTTTTTCCCTAAAGTTTATAGATTGAATCGCATCAGTCTATAAAATATGCAAGTAAAGTATGTATTATTTCAGACACACTTATTTAATTTAATCTGAAGGTGTCTCAAAATTAGGTTCCCAGGGGCAATCCAGCTTGCCTTCCCATGGATTTGAGTTGTTTTGAGAGTCATGGGAATTACTGCCTGATCCTGTCAAAGCAGTGCTGGTACGTTTTGTCAGTGGAGATGAGGAGTTGCACACCAGTGCCAGGTGATCCTGACACATAAATGCTGGATGGGTTACTAAAAGGAGAGGGCCACTGCATAAGCCATGCATGCAAACAGTGCCAATCTGTGCTGCAGATACTTTGCTGACTTTCCTCATTGCCAGTGTTAAATTTCAATTACAGCACACAAGCCCTGCCTCTCTTTCTTAATACATGCACAACTCCTTGTGATGGAGGACACTGAGGGCTTTCCAAATAGTTTGTATTTCAGAAAAAAATACTAAATGTATTTATTTCCTCTTCAGTTTTAATACCCTAAATTCTGCTGTTTCCTAATTGCTGCTAATGGTCCTACTGATATGACTGAAAATGGAGCACTTTACCTAATTTCATGTTTTCCACAATTTGCTACATTTATATCAATGTTTCTGGTGTAACGCTTTCCAACATTCTCAGTTGTTGCTTTTCCAACAATCTTAATGGCTTATTTTCTGTTTCATGATCCTTGAGTAATTCTTCCATAAAAATAAATCTCTTATTTGTAATCATGATGTCCTACACAAAGAGGGATGGCTTTTTTTTTGTTTGTTTTAATTGTATTCTTCAGCAACACCTATTTGCTGAGGGAAGTAACTTCAGTTTTAGCTGGAGGTTGTCCCCATGCCAAGGCAGAACTGACTAGGCTGTGTTTCCCTGAGGCACTCAGCTGTTGGCAGCTCTTACCCTTCAAACCAAATGTTGCCTCAGCTGTCCCAGCTCATTCCCTGCTAACTCTGCACCAGGAAGAACACCAAAGGACTTTTCCAAAATGAAACTTCACAAAGTGAACTTAATTTGGTATGTCTAAAGGCACAGTTTCAGTCACTCCCTCTATGGAGTGCCACTACTTACATTTCACCTCATCCACTGTGTGCAGCAACAAGCAAGCAAATACTTGTGAGATTTATTAGAAGGCTTAAGCCCAAAGGCACAGAGCCCAGAGCCAGTCTGTACCATGACACCAGCTGTTGTAGCAGGTCATTAATATTTAATTTTCAAAAGGATGTCAAAGAACTAGACTTAAAAAATCTGATTAGCCTAAATCTAAGGTGAGGTGGTTTGAAGATTGCAACCCATTTTGGAAAGTGCAGGTTACCTAGAAAAACTGAATGTCCTATTTTCTTCAAACAAGAGAGGATATCACTCCTATGATGCACTCTAAAAAGAGCCACAATCATTTAAATAAAGGAAACAATCCAACAGTTACCAATATTTGAGCTGGATCTCCTAGACTTACTATTACTGCATCAGTGTTCCCCAGTATCTCAGAATCCACTATGCACAATTATGCACATTCCCTACTGTGAAGGCCTTATTAATTAGAAGAGCCTGGCTGAAGGATGAGAGAGTGAAAGCAGAAATAATTAAGGTTAAACACAGGGACCACAGTTCTAGTTAACTGATCAAATATATTCCCTTCATTAAACAGGCAAGGCTTTTTTTCCCCTTCCTGACTCCATAGTCATTTTTCTTCTTTCTACCTCTCCTATCCTGGCTGTGCAAATCCTGGTTTTAGCCATGCATTTCAACCTCCACCCTGGTCCTTCCAATCTCCACCTCCATAAGCCAGTTCCACTCACTAACCTTGCAGAATAAATGTAAGACCACACCTTTTTCCCCCAAGTTTTCTGGAAGGCTAAGGAACAGGCAAGGACAGGAGTAGGAGGCAGTGGAGTGAGGGAAAGGCAGGAATCCATCCCAAGTGGGCATCACGCTGGAGTTAGTAAGTTGTACCTTCACTCTAGCTCATCATCCTACTCAAATCACAATGGAGACAGTTTTATTGAATTCTCATAGTTTGCCACTGTTTTCTTTGCTCTTATATTGCACATTTATACAATAGACAGACCAGTTAGAACAAGGGAGCAAAGAAGGACAGTGCTTGCTGCAAATATCAATGAAAATGTGACACTGAGGGTCTGAATCCTCTGCCTGTTAATTCTGCTGCATAAAAGAAAGCAGGGCTGAGACTCTGTGGAGTCAGGAAGCTGTGCCTTAGACAGCACTGCTCTGGAGAGAAGAATCAGCATCCAGAGTTGCCATGCAGAACACTGCACAACTGCCAGGGAAACAGGGTATGCCACATCTCCTCCTCTGGGGGAGAAAAGCTGCAGCCTTACCTCTGTAAAACATTGCAATGGGACTACGATGAATAGCAGAATTATGCAAAATCATGTATTTTGTCTGTTGCTTTTTAGATTAATGGTTTCTTAGACATACAACAGCCTCTTCTCAGATAATACATTTATAATCTTCACAGCTGTGGCTGTGAAATGGCAGCCCCAACACACCGAAGTCCAGAAAAGTCCACACACACACATCCAGAAGCAGCAAGCTCTGATTATATCTCATAAAATTAAGGAGGTAAATGAAGCCTCAATTACTTATTTCACATGTGTCATTGCAAAGGACAAGACGTTTTTCTTAAAACAAAAAGTGAAACAGGGACAGAAATTAATTTTTAATGTAGTAAAATTTGAGTTAAATATCTGACTGTAGCAACTTCAGCACCAACATGCGAAAAAAACCCACATCTAAAAAAAAGTCAAAAACACCTATAATAAAAATGTGACTAAGTGGATGCCTCTTGCAAATGAATTTGTACAGCTATTTCTTGGAGAGTAAGCCTCCAGTGCTGCAGCTGAAAAGAGCAGCAAAACCAGAATGTGTTAAAGAAGAGGCAACTGATAATATGTATTAGAGATTATATTAGAGAAGACCAAGTAAGGTGCTGGGATGTACATTTATGTACTGGGTATATGCATTGAAGCCTGTTGTAGCTGCATCTTGACCTGCCTCTATGGGCTTTGTCTCCATTTAACAAAATAACTGAAAAAAATCAAGCGACTTAAACTTGCAAGCAGGGAAAATTAGCTCACTGCAGCAGAAAGGTCAGTTTAATTTGCCAGGTTTCTCAGTGATGACTTGAGCAGGTGTTCTAGTAGTGTCTCTTTTCAGCCTGGACCTGGCCTGTGCTGCTGCCAGCCAAGCTGTGCCAGAAGGATTATGCAAGGGAGCACAAGGCCAAATGACTGCAATGGGATTTCCCTATCTCTGCTATCCACACACATTTGTATATTCCTTCCTGGAACATTTGATTTTGTTGGTGCCTGTGGTTCAGCAGAAAAGCTGAATTAGAAAAAGCAAGTTATACCTTTGCATTTCCCACTGACTTGTATGCCTGGACTGTGTCGTGTTGTCTCCGTAGGCTTCAGCTTCCAGAGATGTCCAGGAGAGACAGCTCTGCAGGGGAGGTCTCTTCATGCTGATATCTCAAAAGCAAAAAAACATTTGGGCTAAAATGAAAACCCCAGATACAAAGCACCAAGAGTTTAAAGCCTTCACTGAGCTCTGCAGCTCAAGACCAATGTGCACTAAGCAAAACAGTCTTCAGCCTCTCCACCTCTGCTCCCAGCCATGTGTCTTAGGTAAACACTGCTCAAATATCACAATGACACACATTTACAACAATATGGAATTAAAAACTAAATTAAAGGAAGGGGAAGGGGAAGAACATGAAAAAATATGTTTTGGCACAGCACTGAAGATTGCTAAGTCTTTAATAATCGACAAGGCAGAAAGTCCTGGGATCACATGAAAACCTGGAAAGGATTCCTGGTTTCAGCCTACTATTGATCCATTACATGGCTCAGATAGTGACTTCATATCTTTATGTCTCTATTTACTTGCACATATGAGAGCAGCTGACATAACCTCTATTATGGTTTGTAAAGGTTAATCACCTTATCAGGAACAATACTGAGGATACAGGACTGCAAGACCCCACGCACAGTTAGCTCTATTTACTTACTTGCAGTTATCTCATTTTATTCCTTACTTGCCTGCAGTTTTGTCGGGGAACAAACCCCTATGATGGGCAGGACATAATCAGAGGCTAATTATGTGAAATATCTGGAAGAAATGAAGAGACACAACCACAGAACCACAAGGACACAAGCAGTCTGGTTAGCATCTCCCAGGAAGATTAAAGGTCTGAAAATATATCTTCAGTTGCCACAAGATGCTTCTTCAAACAAATAGAAGTCTCTTGGTATCCATTCCTTAGTTTCTTCATTCTAGTCACAAAATAAGGCCTTAAAGGAGTTCATCTGGAAAATGCACTGCTAACACGCTCCAGTGGCTGCCTCTTGAGAACAAAGGTTTCTGTTCATAGTGCTTACAACCAGCTCTCTATTAAGTTAGCTTTCTTCTGTTCTCTATTAGGCAGGACACAGAGCTTATAAATCATAAATAAATGAGACTGCAAGGACAGGCTATATTTTGCACATTCACCTTTGAAGAACAGCATTTGAGCGCAGATGAGACCTACAAGTCTCTGAGACAGGACCAGGTTCCCTTCCAAATTATGCCTCTATGCAAAAATAATCACAGCATTTAATGCTGCTTTCTTAACTCACAGTTAAATGAAGACACTGGGGTTTTTTCCAAGTGCCAGTGGGAAAAAAGATTACTTCCAGTGTAAGCTAAATTTGATGTAAGAAAGTTTTGTTTTGACACAGATGTGTAAATATCATAAATACACATAAGGACTGTATTTTCATTCTTTTGTCTAAAGTACCTTAAACTATTTCCCAATTCATGGGAGAGATTGGAGAGTTACCTGCAAGCACTGTAGGGAACTATTTGCCCAGAAATGCATGTCTTCCTATAAAAATTCAGAAGACTTTTCCTTCATGCCTATTTTCTTATTTGCTTCATCCCAATGAGAGTCCTGTTCTCTTTTTACTACATCAACCCTACACTGCAAATCTTTTCCCAGCTTCAATTTGGGATCAGGGGGATGGGATACACTGGAAAGCATTCTAAGAGAGCACTTCTTATTTGAAACATTCCCCCTCCCATGGCACAGTCAAAGCAATGTAACCTTCAGGTGCTTGCTGCTGGATACCCATCTCCAGGTATATTTTTTCTTCACTTCATTTTGCTTCCAGCATCATAAAGTTGCTAAACATCTTCTTCCTCCTTGTCTCTCAAGAATTTTCCGGCTACTAACAATACTGCCTTCTCTAATGTGTGCATGTACATTATGCACCTATGAGTAGGTCTTTGTGTATATATACATATATGCACAAGGGCATACAGAAACATGTACACAGACATGTTCAAAAGCAATTTATCTCTGAGGCAACCTTTTTGTACTCAAGAAATGTAACATAAAACAGAGGGAATCTCCACTGAACATATTTTTGAAATGAAAAAAAATTAATTTTATGGAGGAAGGGGAGCTTCAGTAGAGACAAATATTGTCAGGTGAACCTTTTGAGAATACTTCATCATACTCCTTTTGTGGGAAAAGTTGTCTCCACAGATGGCAAAGAAAAGAAAAAGCCAGTAAGATATCTGTAGTCCAGTGCTGGAAAAGAAGAAAATACCATCTAAATACAAATCATGGAAAACAGAGACTTAAGGTTGGAGTTGACAAATTAGACTACATTAACAACAACAAGAAAGCCCTCACTTAAGAGTTTAGGTCTTGATTGCATGCCATTCTTCAAACTGAGAAATTTTTATACCAAAACATGTTACATGGATTAACCTGGTTTACCTATAGATTTAATACTGTCAGAAATGGATTTTTGTGGAAAACCTTGCAGCCAGAAAATACATAAGAGGTCCTTGAAACCTTAAATATCTAGAGAGTGCCTGTAAACAAAAATAGCAAGGCTTCTTCACACAGGAAAATTGCTGGAAGCTACAACCGCTTTGGGACCTTATGTGCAGTTCTTGCAGCAGAGTTTTTCTTCCCTGCTAAAACCTGGCAACACAGTGTCTTAGGCATCAAACTTCATGGTCTTGAGCTCTCCTAAGGTAGAGTGGCTCTGCTCTGGAGGTGACTGTGGGGCTCTAAGTCTCCGCACCTGCAATGATGCTCCAAGCTGCAGAGTGCTGCTCAGGTGTCTGAGGCCAGTGCTCCACATGGATTATTTAGCCCTTTGAAAACAAAATTCTTTCTCAACATGTAAAACTATGGCACCTACAGGAATATTTACCAGAAGACCTAGGATCTTCAAAATTGCCTAGATGAAAATCACATTTCTGCTTGCTTTTCTTCTCACCCTCCTACCGCCTCCCAAAAAAAATGTGTCTGGAAAGAAACAAGCACAGCTAACTTTCCTCTTCTGCATTTTCTAAAGCCATTCATAGACTGCCCTCCCTTCTGCCTTGTTCCAAGGCAGGCTTCTAGGCCAATTGCTAGGGAGCTGAGAGTCAAAGATAGCAGCTTTGGCATGTCCAGTAACAATTCCCTGTGCTTGCTGAATGGTGAATTACCTCAAGACAGTCCATTCTTCCTTTCCTGTTTTTCCAGACTGGTTTCTATTCAATTAACTGCTTTATACTTACACAATAATCAACTCCAAGGCTTGCCCAAATAGAGTGTTCACGTCTGCAATAACATTCACCCGTTGCACCTGCATTTCATACCGCTGTGGTTTTTGCCTTCTCTACGTGAATAGTGCCTCATTTGCAAGGTCTCCTTGCAGAGCACACATGGGTTTTGGCTCAGTTTGGCTGATCATGACTTGTGGAAGGCTGCTCAAGGGAGAAGGGCAGCTGAGCCATAGGCACAGAGCAGATCACATGGGGAGAAAGTGGTGACACATTCCAGCCCATGGGCAACAGGTTGTCTCTGCCTTGAAGAAAGAGGCAAACAAGAAATAACAAGGAAGCAGAAAAGCCATACAACTTTATGCACCTTCTAAGTGCACAACAGAGGGACAGATGGGAGAAATCTCTGCCAGCCAGTGGAGCATGTAGCAGTGCCAGTGTATTTCCATACCATGCAAATGTCTGTGTGGAGATTGATACAATGCAGCTCCTTGTATGGACTTGCTGAGGGCTTTAGAGCAGCAGCATTGCCTCATCTCACATCCAAGAATCTCTCCCAGTGAGGATGCAATGATGGCTTTCTTGAACTGGTTTAAGTTTTTGATAGCACACAAATGTTGCCTCCATAAAATGTAACTAGCAAATGCAGCTCCTCATGGTGCATCATGTCTGCCTCGTCCCTACTGCCAGTGAAAAAACAAACATGCAGTAAGCCTTCAGCACATGACCTTTCCCAAAGATGATCAGAGAGTACACCATGGCAAGAGGTGCACTAGTTAACAAGACCTAATTCCATTGGTCAGAGTACACCATGGCAAGAGGTGCACTAGTTAACAAGACCTAATTCCATTGGTCTGAAAATTATTTCAGACCAATTGTTTTTCACAGCACAGGAAATTAATTTAATTTTGCTCTGCCTATCTTCCAAAAATTTTTAAGTCTCATAATTTGTACAATAGCAGTGGAAAAAATAGTCTCATGACTCTGTTATCAGACCATGATTAAACAAAAAGATTATTGCTTAGTAAGTTTTGAGTAGTTGCCCAGAAATCATGCATGCAGAGCCAAATACTACCATTGATGCTGAAGAACTTTTAAAAGGATTAACTCAAGTGGACAGTGCCAAAATTCATCCTTTGAATAGGGAGGTGTGCTTGCCATTGAAATGTCAACAGCAAAGTCAACATTGATTTGGAACTTGACATAAAATGCACCAGGAGCGTCATTCTCCTGTTGCTTTAGAGATCAGTGCTAGTGTACCCTGAAGGACAAATGTGTGGTAATGAAGTTGGTGATGGCCATGGTTTGGGCAAATGGGGATGTGTAAGTTCATGCCTTCGACAGTTCTCTTTGTGTTCTCTTTATGAGAATCGTAAACATTCATGTGACCCACCAGGCTGCTCTGGAATAATTTACCTCTGTAATGCTATGAGCGCTGTTAACAGAGATTTCATTATTTAAGTTTCAAATGGTCCCTTAGTTGCTGATTCCTTAACAATTTGCAGATCAAAAGTTCTGTTATAAATACTTGGGTATACACTATCACAGAAGAATTGACAAGGTTCTCTATTATTTAAAAAATATAGGGGGGTTAGTGCCAGCTCACAAAATGTTGTGAAAGGCAAAACCAAAATACCTCTGCAGGTTTTATAACTAATTATCTTTATTAAATGTTTTTGCAATTCACTCAAGTCTAATGGAATGACTTGTCTGTACTTGTAAGTTAATTCTGACCAGGACAGAGTAAGCGTACATTGCAATAACTGTTGCAGAATAACTCATGTGTGAAAACCTGTTCTGGAATCAGTCTGCCTCATTCCATTTTAGATTGATTCACTCACTCTGAAAGGAAGAATTTGAGATCTGACATGTATCAGAATTGAGATCTCTTTTTTCAGATGTACTTGGGCTTGATATTTTCTCT